GTACTATCTGTTGTGGGACATGGACTTCTGCTAAACAAACAGAATAAGATCATCAGGGAACATTGCACCGCTTATTGTAGTGAAAGCAAAAACCTACACAGTAAATTAATACAATTATGCAGAAAATGGACTATCAGGCAACCATTAAAAATTGTATTTTCAAAGAAAATCCGAAGACATGAGAGAAGCCTCATGATATAGTGTTAGTTCCAAAAGGATTTTGAAAAATACATACACAATATGATACCAAATTAGATTTAAAAATTAAGATATAGTGGAGATGCCTGGTGGCTGAGTCGGTTAAGCATCCACCTATTGGTTTTGGCTCAGGTCCTGATCTCATGGGTTGTGGAACTGAGTCCCAGATCTGGCTCTGTACTGATAATATGAAGCCTGCTTGGGATTCTCTCTCTTCCTCTCTTTCTTTCCTTCCCTGACTTGTGCTCTCTTTCTCTCTCAAAATAAATAAATAAACATTAAAAAAAAATTAAGATATAGAAGACTTTAAAAATAGGCTGAAGTATGAACTACTGTTTTTTTTTTATTTTTTAAAATACTTATTTATTTTTGAGAGAGAGAGAGAAAGACAGAGCATTAATAAGGACAGGCAGAGAGAAATGGAGACACAGAATCCAAAGCAGGCTCCAGGCTCCAAGCTGTTAACACAGAGACAGATGCAGGTCTCAAACCCACGAGCTGTGAGATCATGACCTGAGCCACCCAGATGCCCAGAACTACTGGTTAAGGTGGCAGTATTACAGATGATTACTTTCTGCTTTATACTTAACTGCATTGGGGTGCCTGGGTGGCTCAGTCGGTTAAGCGTCCGACTTCAGCACAGGTCATGATCTCACAGTTTGTGGGTTCGAGCCCCAAGTCGGGCTCTATGCTGACAGCTAGCTCAGAGCCCAGAGCCTGCTTCAGATTCTGTATCTCTCTGACCCTCCCCTGCTCATGCTGCCTCTCTCTCTCTCTCAGAAATAAAACATTAAAAAAAAATTTATACTTAACTGCATTTTTCTAGTGTTGTACAATGGACATCTACTACTTCTGTAATCAGAAAACAAGCCTAGTAAAGGTCATTTTAATAAAGAGAGAGAGAGGGGGGCGCCTGGGTGGCTTTCAGTCAGTTAAGCATTCGACTTCGGCTCAGGTTATAATCTCATGGTTCGTGGGTTCGAGCCCAGCATCGGGCTCCATGCTGGCAGCTCGGAGTCTGGACCCAGCTTCGGATTCTGTGTGTGTGTGTGTGTGTGTGTGTGTGTGTGTGTGTGTGTCTCTGCCCTTCCCCCGTTCGCGCTCTGTTTCTCAAAAGTAAATAAACCTTAAAAAAATTAAAAATAATAAAAAGAGAGAAAGAGAAAGGGACAAAGTTTTTTTCACCATATGGGGTTTGGCCTCAAGATCCTTGAAGTCGTCCTTCTTCACTCCAGACATGGTTTCATAATAGTCCAGATTCTGCCGCATCTCCATGTGTTCAGGGTTGCCCACAAAGAAGGTGTGTGCCGCTGCTACCGCTTTCTCCAGCTTGTTTATCTAAGAATAAAGCACAAGAACATAATCCTCACATCCAAACCCTGAAGGTTTGTGTCCAAATGCACGGTCCATGGTAAACAGGAAATCCCAGCCTTCCTGAACCTTCCACTTAAAACAGTATGCTCCAGAGCCTTGCCAGCCCCAGAAAACACATCTACTGCAGGAACTACATCCCAGAAATTAGGAGTACAGAGCCCTGGGCAGAATCAGTCACTTCCCCAATCAGACGTAGCAGTGCCCCAAATCATTGGAGGTAAACCTTCAACAGAGCAAACGTGCTATTTTTAAACAAAGGTCATATTGTGAGGGGCAGTACTATGGAAAACTGACTGCCCAAATAGTATATTTTCAAGATTCAGATGTGGCAACTGAGCTGAAAAAAGTATAAGGCTTCAAGAATTTAGTAGTAGAGGAAAAAAAGCAGCTAACAATGATGCTGCACCTAAGGATTTTCCTAGAAGAGGCTTTTCTTTTCTTTTCTTTCTTTCTTTTTTTTTTTTTGCTTAAAATATAATCAAGTGTTTTTGACATATTCAAGGAAAAGATGGGTGACTGAAAAATCTCAAGGTCTCATACAAAATCCAGACATGGCATCTTCTGACTCGAAGCCCAGGGCTCATGAGGGTCAAACAAGTGGTTATACTGAAATCTGAGAAGAGAAAACTGTGGTATGTGCCACAATAATGCCCATAGCAGTGGACGGTGTTAAACAGGTTCCTATGTAGAAGCTAAAATAAGTCACTGATGATCTAATGATTAACGTGGGCTTCAGTGTCACACAGACCTGTGACAAAGCTAGATTTAGTCAGTAACTTGCTGGGGCTTTAGATAAGTCACTTAAAGTTTACTCTCTAAATTCAGTTCCCAAATCTGTCTCATCTGCAGAGAGCAGTCACTAACTCACAGGGTTGTTGAGAACGTTACACAAGGTGATATATATGCAGCTTCTAATACATGGTGCTGGGCACATACTATGTGCTCAATAAATGTTAGCTGGTACAATCAACATGCTAACAATTTTTTCCGTTTCCTCTTACCATCAGTACTAGTAAATGCACATTAAATAAGGAGTCAGCCCTGGCTCAGATCCTAAAATAGCTAAGTGACCCAGAGTCAATAATCGCAATCTCTGTACCTTTTTTGTTAATTGTACAATTAGAAATTCTCCCACATTTATCCCCTTTATGGATTTATTCTCCCACCGTTATCTCTCTACATTGCTTGTGCATTTCCTCCTTCTCTTTTCTCTCTCCACCCCCAGTCCTACTTTACCAAGCACCAAGGCACCTAATTCCCTTCTCTCATGTGGACAACCCACACTCATCCCCTAATGGTTAGCCCCGACACCTCTTTCTCCTTCTCCCAAGGCTTATTCCACATTCCAGAATTAGCAATCTACGACCAGATTCTGATGCTGGCTCCTGAAGCCTGCAGAGCATTCTTCTTAGTCTGGCCTCACTTTACCTGGAATGGCCATTCTTCCTCCCCTCTAGTGAGATTTAGGACTGACTTCAATTGTCAACTCTTCTTTCAGTCTCCCTGATTTCTCTGAAACAAAGCTAGGTTCTACCTCCTTTGTGCTCCCACAGCCCTATATACACACCCTTTTTAGCCTCTTCTATAGTGATTGATAGGGAAGCGATGTGAAACAAAACAAGGTAAAGTTAAGCATTTTAATGACCTGTACAAGACCTGGAATGTAGTAGGTACATTTGTCAAAGAATGTTAGAAAGAGCTGTTAAGTGACAGGACCAAAGACATGACCCACTTATTTTGGTTCCAAATACAGTACTTTCCCAAGTAACAAGGAGGAAGGGAACAAAATTGTGTAAGCAAAATGTGTGGAGAGGTGGGCGTCTGGTGCCCATGGTTCTCTAAGTCTCTCTTTAGGGGGAACTGAAGGTCTGTTAAACTATGGACATAATAAATATGCAGCATAGCTCCTTCTTCTTTGTTTTCCCCCAATAAAACGGGGCTAATAATAGCACCTACCTTACAGGATATTGACAAGATCTGGGCAAATGAATCAATAAATACAAAGTTCTTAAAATAGTATCTGGAAGTATGTGTTGGCTATCATCATCACCACCACCACAAGCCAAGGACGCTCCAAATCCATGTATACACTTGGCTTACGCCACTCTGGAATTCCTAAAAATGCTCATTTTTCTTTGAAAACCTGACAGTAGCCAGAAGGTCCCCCCACAGCCCTAGTGGCTAGACAGCCCCTACCGGCGACGTGGCAACCTCACGTCCTGAAAGAGAGCTGCTGCACTCATGCGGCAGGAAAAGCATCACTGGACAACCAACCGGAAGGAGGATATTGTAGAAAGGTCCTAGCTTCTCACTCGGACACTTACAATGAAATCCGGAGGAGAGACCCGAACTGCCGCTTTAGTTTCCCCTAGCAGGCCTGCCGGGGAACACAAGGCCAAGTTTTGCTTGGTCCGTGCCTTAACCCCAGGCTGGACCTTTGGGGTCACCATCTGCCTATGCGAACCTGGCGTCGCAGGTCTTCCGGCAGGGTCCCTCTTCTCCCTGGGTCCGAGGAGAGCTCCCTGGCCAGGAGGCCACCGTCCCTCTCCACGGACACTTCCCCGACCCCCCATCCCCACCCCACCCCCGAGTTCGCCCGGGTCATTTGCAACCGCACCCAGAAAGATCCCTGCCGCCCGGGGCCGGACAGGTCTGCACCTTGAAGTAGGCGACCTGGAGGTAGTTGTAGGGGCTCCGCTTGCGGAACTCCAACTCCAGCTCCTCGCTGAGCGAGTGGGCGGCGGGCGGCCCGAGGCAGCGGCGCAGGCAGGCGGCGCGACGCAGCAGGCCCCCAAAGAAGCGCAAGTCCCGCAGGGCGGCGGCGCCGGAGGCCTGCGCCAGGCTCGGGGACGGGTCGGGCTCCAGCTCCCACGGGAGGTCGGCGGCACAGCGGGTGCGGCAGCGCAAGCGAAGGGCGCGTAGGGCGGCCCTGGAGCGCAGCGCCCGCTCCATGCTCAGGACCACCCCTGCCCAGTCCCCGCGCGCGTAAGCCGCGGTTCCCTCCGCGAAGAGCAGATCAGGCGCAGGCACATCCCATCCCGCCTCGGACTCGACCTCGGCCCGGGAGGCAGCGGCGGCAATCGCCAGCAGTGTGGTCAGCAGCCTAAAAGCGCGTGCAGCCATGGCAGCCTCAGACCTAACGGGACCGCCCGCCACCCGCCACGGAGACCAGAGTCCCACCTCCGAGGAGCCCCGCCTACCACGCCCCTCCCCTCCCCGCCCCTTCCCTGAGTGGAGCCTCGCCTCCCAAGCCCGGCGGCGCAAGCCCAGGAACCTTACGCCGCCTTTTCCGCTTTCCCTAAGCCGGGACCCCGCCCCTCAGCGGAGCCCTGTGCTTCAGCTGGAGCCCCGCCTCCCGGCTCGGGCGGTGCCCTTTAGCCCTAATGGCCATTGGCCAGGGAACACAGAAGCTCCGCCCACGGGCCTTTGTGCGCGTGCTCTTCCGCCTAGCACTGCGCCTCGGGTGGAAGGGAGGCTCCGCTCTTGTCATGGGGGAGGCCGGAATGCCGGGGCAGTCGAAGGGAGTCCCAGCTGACCAAAGAGGTCGGGGAGGTACGCAGGGCGGGAGTCCGCAGGGGGGAAGAAGCCCTCACGGAGCAGCCAGCCTCCCGGGCTGCGCGGGAGGCCGAGGGCGGGCGCTCACGGGCTGTGTTCCTGGGTATGTGTCGCAGGAGCGCTGGTGGAGCTCACCCCGACCCCTGGCGGCCTGGCCCTAGTGAGCCCCTACCACACCCACCGGGCCGGGGACCCCTTAGACCTCGTGGCGCTCGCAGAGCAGGTACAGAAGGTGAGGAGGCGCGGCTGGGGAAGTAAAGACCAGTCTCGGTCCGTGTTTGGCCCTGCGTCTTACGACTGGGACCCCACAGCCAGTTAGTGTGGGTTACCATTTGCTTTTTGTCACCATTTTACAAGTCGGGAAAACTGATTGTCACTGAGAGTCGGTAGTCTGACTCTGAGCTTCTGAGAGCAAAGGCTTCAGCTGCACCGTGAGTGCCCATAACCTTTCGCGACAATTTGCATATTCAGTATTTCGTGTGGGCCTCGGGACAGCCCTGTAAGGTAGGCAGTACAGACCTTATTCTTCCCATTAGACACGTGAAGAGAAGTTTCCATGCAAGTGTCACAATCACCCTAACGGATTCTGCAGGGATACACAGTCCACTTATTTAAACTGCTTTCCATTAGATCGTTATCTGTGCCCTGAACGCTTTTAGAATTTAACATCTTCTAGAAGGACAGGGACTCTTAAATTTTGTCCTGTGTTCTCATTCACTGGGCAAAACATTCCTGAGCCCCGTGCTTAGATTCACTGCCAAAAGAATAAGGAGGAAATGCGAAATAACAAAAAGCACTGGAAATTTGGACACATGCCTGCTAATCCCACGTTTGATAATAACTTGTGCTGTGACTTGAGGCAAATTAGGTTTCTCTGGACTTCAGCTTCTTCATCTGTAAAATGCAGGTCTCAACTAGGAGAACTCCTAGATCTAAAGCTGTGAAAAACCAAAATCCATCTAAGACTTTCAGTTGTAGAACCCTCATCAATATGCACAGATAGAGGGCCCAGCTGCTTTAAAGCTTCGGATAGTCCCCTCACCCTTGTATGTACTACCACATGTGGCCTTGGTTATAGTCAAAGGTCTTTATTTTGTCCAAAAATATTTAATAGTTAATGTGCTCAAATACCCTCACATAAACATCTCTGTACTTCAGAGTTTTTTTTTCTTAATTAAGAAATATTAAAATGCTTAGGAAAGTGCTTTTGATTCAAACTTCCTGACTTCCCTTTTCTAGAGAGGTGAGAAGCAAAGCATAACTTTTATAGATTAGGAGAATATCATGTGTCTGTTTAATTGGATCAGTTTTATTGGGAGGGAGGCAACCAGGCCCAAAGCTTTAGGCAGACGTTTTCCTGGGTTACTGAGTGACCATCATGTTTATTACAGTGGCCTGAAACAAACAACAAACAAAAAGATGGAACACAATTTTTGCCCCTCAGCATATAATCTAGTAAAATATAGAGGCTGCATTATTGTGCTGCCTCCTTGTTGCCAATGTTATTCATACTGAGTGGCTGAAATAAAAATGCTAGAGACAAACAGATTGAATCAAGCACATTTACTCTCTGTGTCCTGAAATGTACTTTCTAGCAGGACTGCCTGCTGACATGCCATTTTGGTATTGAAGTGTGTTCAGAAAGCTCGAGAGGTCTGGTATTATTAATAAGGCAGAAATTTGGAATCAGACTGATCTGTGTTCAGATCTTCAACAGCCGTTTATTAGCTGTTATTAACCTTTGGACAGGTTGCTTTACTTCTCTGGGTATAATTGCTAAAATGAGACTGAAGTTACCATCTCCAACTTCATAAGGTGTTATAAAAATTAAGTTAGATAATATATGTGAAGGGCTTCAGAATGGGGCCAGAGTTTGTGTTTAGTAATTAGCAGTACTGTTTTCCTCATTTCTCTATGAATTAGGATCTTTTGTTTACAAGGAACTGATTTGCTGCCACCACCCTAAGAAAAAGATTAATAATGACGCCACTCCTAACCCAGAAGTGTCTTAGCTCTAGAAACCTCCTGCTCTCTCCTTGGCCATCAGGTATCTCACCGTCCTTGGAACAAAATGCATTAGTTTCACCGTGGGCTATAAGGCCTTACATGATACGGTCCCTGCCCCCTTACTAACTACTCCCTAACTACTGCCCCCTCGCTAACTACCCTTCAGACACGTCTTCTCCAGTTTTGTGCTCGGCTGGCCCTTTTTTTTGTTCAGACCCAAGTCAAATGTCACATCCTCAGTGAGGCTTTCTTGTCTGTTGAAGGTTATACTCCACCCCATCCAGATGATGGTATTATTAAATTGAATTTGGGCACCTAGGTGGCTCAGTTCATGGTCTCATGCTTCGTGAGTTCGAGCCCCACATCGGGCTTTCTCTGTTGGCAAGGAACCCACTTCAGATCCTCTGTCCTCTTTTCTCTCTGCCCCTCCCCAGCTCACGCGCTGTCTCTCTTTCAAAAAAAAATTTTTTTTCAATAAGAAATAAATAAATTGAATTTGCATCTACCCTTCTCGAGCATTCCGTTCCCTCCAGTGCTTACCACTACCCATTAAGCCAGTTTCTCCACTTACTTGTTACCTCTGATCTGCTTCTACCACATAATTATGGTTATTTCCTTCATAATAGCTCATCATTATTCTGAGTCCGTATAACACTAGCTCTAATTGTTTTTCTTGTTGGTATCTGTATTACTCACCAGAACCATGTTATGGTAGCCTCTAGCCACATATGGTTGTCAAGCACTTGGAATATATGGTTAATGCAGCTGAGACATAGAATTTTAAATTTATGTAGTTTTAACAAATTTACATTTTAAACCGTGATAATTGATTAAATTATTGGACACTTTTAAGTATATTTGGAGCAAGCTGAGTATGTGCATTGACCCTTTTAACTATAAATTTTATGAAGCTTAAGTACAGATTGAGTATTTTTTGTACTTTTTTCTAATGTTTATTTATTTTTTTTTTAAATTTTTTTTTAATGTTTTATTTATTTCTAGGAGAGAGAGAGAGAGACAGCATGAGCAGGGGAGTGTCAGAGAGAGGGGGAGTCACAGATTGAAACAGGCTCCAGGCTCTGAGCCGGCAGTCAGCGCAGAGCCTGACGCGGGGCTCGAACCCACAAACCGCGAGATCATGACCTAAGCGAAAGTCGGACACTTAACCGACTAAGCCACCCAGGCGCCCCTCTAATGTTTATTTTTGAGAGAGAGAGAGAGACAGAGACAGAGCACGAGTGAGGGAGGGGCAGAGAGAGAGGGAGACACAGAATCCGAAACAGGCTCCAGGCTCTGAGCTGTCAGCACAGTGCCTGACGGGACTGAAACCCACAAACTGTTTGATCATTCATGACCTGAGCTGAAGTTGGATGCTTAACCAACTGAACCACTCAGGTGCCCCAGATTGAGTATTCTTAATGAAAATTTGATATCTCAATTGATAGTATTAGTGAAAATATAAGTATATACTTAATATGAAATGTAAAATATCTCATTAAAATTTTTTATAGTGATTATGTGTTGGAATAGTAATGTTTTTTGATATGTTGGGTTAAGAAATATTATTATAAATTTTACTTATTTTTATTTTTTTTTATTTTTTAATATTTTTATTTATTTCTAGGAGAGAGAGAGAGACAGCGTGAGCAGGGGAGGGTCAGCGAGAGAGGGAGATACAGACTCTGAAATAGGCTCCAGGCTCTGAGCTGGCAGTCAGCACAGAGCCCAACGTGGGGCTCGAACCCACGAACCGCGAGATCATGACCCAAGCGAAAGTCGGACGCTTAACCGACTAAGCCACCCAGGCGCCCCAGTTATTTTTATTTTTAACACAGCTGCTAGAAAGTTAAATATTACTATTTTGGGGTACCTGGGTGGCTCAGTTGATGAAACAACTGACCCTTGATTTCGGCTCAGGTCACAATCTCACAGTTTGTGGGATCCTGCCCCTCGTTGAGTTTTGTGCTGACAGCAGAGCCTATTTGTGATTCTCTCTCTTTTTCTCTTGCTCTCTCTGCTTCTCACGCTCTTTTTCAAAATAAATAAACATTTTAAAAATTACATACTTTACTTCATTTTCTGAAGGACAGTGCATTAGGCTGTAATCTTGATGGAGGTAGGGACTTCTTTCTCCTGTTTGCCGGTACATCCAGGGCTTGGCATGGTGTCTAATACACAGTGGTTGTTCAGTCTGTATTTGTGGAACAGATAAATGATTGACTCATTGACTCTGTTGTTTCTTTCTGCTCTCATATGATGCTGGCTTATAGCTGACTTTTACCTTGAGCTTCCTTAACTAACCAGCAAATTCTCTTAGAATTTCCTTTTTTATTTTTTATTAAAAAAAGTTTTTTAATGTTTGTTTATTTTTGAGAGAGAGAGAGAGACAGAGTGTGAGTGGGGGAGGAGCAGGGAGAGAGGGGGACACAGACTCTGAAGCAGGCTCCAGGCTCTGAGTTGTCAGCACGGAACCCAATGTGGGGCTCGAACTCACGGACTGTGAGACCATGACTTGAGCTGAAGTCAGACGCTTAACTGACTGACACCCCAGGCACCCTCTTAATATTTCTTACTTTAAGTTAATCTCCTAATTTCTTCTTAACTTATTGTATACCCCTAGACATTAATCAGCTTTTCTTGAAAGTAAGCTGGAAGTCTTTGACAGATTTCTGATGCCTGAGTGATAATCCTTCCCATTGGTCATACCAGTCTCTCGGTTTTGAAAATTATTCAATTTATTTTAAGCAATTTCCATTGCCTTCATTCGCGCTTCCTGGCACAAGACAGGCAGTCTTCTGTGTGCAGTATAACACGGTTTCAGGTCTACATCCTAGTGCAGTCTTTAAAAATACCTGGCTGGTTCAGTGGGTAGGTAGAGCATGTGACTCTGGATCTCAGGGTCGTGAGTTTGAGCCCCACAGTTGGGCATGGAGCCTACTTAAAAAAAAAACCAAGAAAATATTTGAAGTAACAATTAGGAAGGCAAATCTAAGTTAAAATGTAACTAGGCATTGGTGTAAATAATTCAGCTGAGGCAATGATCAGATTAATAGGTACTTCCTATACATAGCTAGATTCCTACCTAACAGGTGGTAAGAACCTTATCACAAGGGTCTCTTTATTTTAAGACCCATCTCTGATTTCAGAAACGTTGAAACATGAGAAAAATAAATGGAGACCTGAGGAACAAGTGGGTTTACTCGGGCAAAGAGTAAGAGGGGAAGTATTTTCTGTCGAGAGGGCACAGTCAAACATGTGGTAGCATATGGGAGCTGTTGAGCCGGGTGGGAGCTGGGTGAGGTGAGTGCGAGTTCACGGGGCTGTGGTGAGGCTCAGAAGAGTATAAGGCATAAGCAAAGATGTGGAGGTAACTCTTCACGCTGGGCTCTAAATACAAACACTGTGAAAGTCTTACCCTTTTTCCACCCACAGTTTGGTTTTGTCTCACCTGTAGGCTGACGAATTCATCCGAGCAAATGCCACCAACAAACTGACAGTCATAGCTGAGCAAATCCAACATTTACAAGAACAAGCCAGGAAGGTGAGTAACGAGTAACAGCTTTTAGACAGCCATTCATTTCCCTCATTTAATTCACAGGATTGCCTGGTCTTACAGTCATTTAACTATTTTGTCTTCAGGACCTCCTAGAAATAATAGAAGTGTGGCGTGAAAGAGAGTAAGTCCAAGAGGTTAGGTATAGGTAAGCTTTTTCACTGGGAGGCAAGTTTCAGTGAAGTAAAGCATTTTGAGGGGAAATACATGTTCTCAGTTATATAAGAAATGTACTTACATTGTCATTACAGATGTTGGTTAAGTGTCCGACTTCGGCTCAGGTCATGATCTCACGGTTTGTGGGTTCGAGCCCTGCATCGGGCTCTGTGCTGACAGCTCAGAGCCTGGAGCCTGCTTTACATTCTGTGTCTCCCTCTCTCTCTGACCCTCCCCTCCTCACACTGTCTCTCTCTCTCTCTCTCTCTCAGAAATAAAGAAAACATTAAAAAAAGAAAAAGAAATGTACTTTCTGCAGAAAAATAGGAAAGAAATTCAGAAACCACTCAAAGCCAGTAATGTTCAACATTTTGAAATGCAGTTCTTCTAAAGGCATTTTTACAGGCTAGTAGCATAGTCTAATTCTTGTCTCTTCAGAATCATCTGGATCCTAGTAGTGACTGATTGCTGTGGGGGGAGCAGTTCCTAAGCACTGTTTGGGATAATCACTGAATGTGCGTGCCTGTTAAGTCCAGTGCTTACTTTGTTACATCTCTGTGGTTCTTAGGTGCTGGAAGATGCTCACAGAGATGCTGACTTGCACCACGTAGCCTGTAATATAGTTAAAAAACCTGGTAACATCTATTACCTTTATAAACGGGAGACTGGTCAGCAGTATTTTTCTATTATTTCTCCAAAGGTAAGAACATTTATTTTTGCACAAAAATCAACTCTGGTCTTTGAGACACTCTTGGCATGTGTGTGTGAGGATGTAGGCATAAGGGTTTATAAATGGTTTTCTAGAAAATTGGAGGTTTTGTGAGCCTTGGCATGACTCTTAAGAAATATTTATTGAAAAATACAGTCAAATTATTTCACAGTCATTATCTCTGTTAAGGGAGATAGCTGATGCATAATGCAATGAGGATGATTCTGACTGATCTGAAGTGAAAACCCAAAAAAGAAATCTGTGGCATAAAATGAAATGAGGGGAGCCTGGGTGGCTCAGTGGGTTAAGCATCTGATTCTTGGTTTTGGCTCAGGTTATGATCTCACTGTTTGTGGGTTCAAGCCCCGCATCAGGCTTTGCACTGGCGACCGTGGAGCCTGCTTGGGATTATCTGTCTCCCCCTCTCTCTGCCCTTCCCCCTCTTGCTCTCTATCTCTCTCTCTGAAAATAAGTAAATAGACATTTTTTAAAAATGAGGAAATAAGCTCAATGTCTTTATTTCCTACCCTGATGAGAACTGACTCCTTTGCCTTCTTTAGGAATGGGGGACACGTTGTCCACATGACTTCCTTGGTGCCTACAAGCTACAGCATGACTTGTCCTGGACTCCGTATGAGGACATTGAGAAGCATGATGCTAAAATCAGCATAGTGAACAGGTTGCTAAGCCAGCCAGCGGCCCTGCCTCCAAGCACTGAGCCCGCCTTCCAGGGACTGACTGACTGAGAGACGTCTCTGACAAACAGCTCTCGAAGCCCTCTTTCTCTGCCTTGATGGGAGGAGGCATGAGAATTGAGGTCTTGTGGGGGAATCGTGAACTTCTTGAAAGGAGACCCTGTGTGCATGTAAATGCTGTCATTACTACTGTTAGTTAGTTCTGATGGTAATAAATCCTATCAGTCTCTTTTGGGATCCTCTCTGGGTCACAGATACTCAACCCTGTCGCTTTCAGAGTATTGGCCAGTGTACTTTCCTTCTCCTTTATCTCCATCTGTTCTCCCACAGGTCAGAGCATTAGAGAAAGACGGTATCTTCTACCCGCATGAAGGTTGGCGAGGCATTTTCCAGAGAGAACTGTTTCTAGTCTTTTTGTAACTGGAAGTGTTTGAAATTGGGTTGAGGTTGAACATGGGGTGGAAAATGAGAGCAGACTTTTACCAATAGAGAACAAACTGATGGTTGATGGAGGGAGGTGAGTGGGGGATGGGCATTGCGGAGGGCACTCATGATGTGCACGGATGTTCTATGTAAGTGATGAATCACTAAATTCTACTCCTGAAACCAATATTACACTATACATTAACTAACTGGAATTTAAATAAAAACTTGGAACTAAAAAAAAGATTGGGTTGAGGCTGTTTAGCAGTTAGTGTAGCTCCAACTTCAGATGCGTCTGGGAGCGGGAATGTTGTGTAATGGAGAACGATGAACAGCTTGGCTTGCCTGGACTGGAGAGTGTGGGATTCTGGTATTTCTGCACTTTTGGTGAGGTTTGGCTTGCCTCTTTTGCTCTTTCTGCCTACCTTGGAGATTCTGGGGCAGCAACAATGGGCAGGGTTGGGGGAGGTCTACCTGTAACCTCACAGAATTCTAGACTTGGAAGTGATGTGGGCAGCTGCCACCGACCACGGTATGGATCTGCACTGTAGCCTTGCTGCGGAGGAGATCCAGACTTTAGCCATCAGCAGCAGGCCAAATCCATTTAGATGGCAACTTCAAAATAGTGTGGAAGAGGGGCAGTGGGTGAGAAAAAGAAAAGTAGCCTGTTGATCATGAGTTACCTCAGATTGAAACTCATCTTGACCTGAATTATTTAAGAACTTAGCAGAGGCTTTTTGGCTGAGTTCCTCTAGTTCTCTCATTCTGACTAGACTCTCGTGGGACTCGACCTCACCTCATTTGTTTGGTGGGATTAACTAAATTCACAGCATATCCAGTGTGGCTGTGTTTCAGTGCCGTATCACCTATCGTAATATGCCATAACCATAGCTGCCCAAGTTCCTTTCTGGGTGTGGATGTCTCTTGGGCTGATCTGTGTGGTAATACCCTAACGCCATCCTAGTTTTCTTGGCCTTTCCTCATAAGGTGCATTTCTTGTTAGCTGTAAAATGGCCCGTGAAGGCCTCCCACTGGATGGGGCTAGAACCTGACGGGGTCACCCAGATGATCCTTGGTCATTCATCTCACAGGGGGATGCTCTGTGAGGTCAGCTGCAAAAGCCTCTGATGGGGGTGGTGTGGGGGACACACACACGCTTCAGTGGTATAGTAGTTGATTATGTAAGTTTCCTGGGTTTTCAGACCTGCATGGGCACAACCCATTCTGAGTAGGTGTTTATTAGTTATCTGTTGCTGAATAAATTATAAGCAACTAGTGGTTTAAAACGACACACATTTATGATTTCATAGTTTCTGTGGGCCAGGAGTTCAGGCACACTTAACCTGGGCCCTCTGCTTCACAGGCTGCATTCTGATTACTGGCCAGGCCCAGGTTCTCATCTGAAGGCTGGGTAAGAATCGGTTTCCAAGCTAACTTAAATTTTGAAACAATTTTAGTTCTTCCTGCTGGACTAAGATTGTTGACTCTGTTTACTAATAGACCATTAACCAGAGACTGACTTTAGTTCCTTGCCATATGGGTCTCCCCAACATGGCAGCTTTCTTTATCAAAGTCAGCCAGGAAGAGTCTGCCAGCAGGATGGAAGTTACAGCCTTGTGTAGTCTAATCACAGGGGTGACACCTCACGCTTGTGTTCCATTCTGTCAGTTAGAAGCAGGCCCCAGGCAAGCCCATACTCAGGAGGGAGTTATACAAAGGCACGAATACCAGAAGGCAGAAATCATCAGGCAGATCTTAGAATCTCTGTCACAGTGCTCAGCCCGAGGGAGAAAAGAAGGCCCTCGGGTAAGAGGCTGTATTACAAAGTGGTTAAGCATGGTAGTGTTAAAGTCACAGGTTGGAACTGGGCTATCGCTCTGACAAAATAATTCCCCAGCTGGCCATCCCCACTTCTTCCCTTCAGCAATCCATTCTGCAAAAAATCATCAGCTTGATCTTTTTAAATATATTTTTTTAAATGTTTATTTATTTTTAGGAGAGAGAGAAAGAAACAGCGTGAGCAGGGGAGGGTCAGAGAGAGAGGGAGTCACAGACTGAAACAGGCTCCAGGCTCTGAGCTGGCAGTCAGCACAGAGCCCGACGCGGGGCTCGAACCCACGAACCGTGAGATCATGACCTAAGCGAAAGTCGGACGCCTAACCAACTAAGCCACCCAGGCACCCCTTCAGCTTGATCTTTTTAAAATCCAAATCCCCCTCACTCATTACATTTCCTAACCTCTCCAGAGCAAAAGAGAGCAGTGGTTTTAAAAAAGTTGTGTTCAATAAGGTGTGTTCCCCGCACTGACCACCAGGCAGTGCCATTGCTCTTTGATACTTTGGCCAATTACCAGACTTAGGGATAAGTCAGTGGCAATGTGAAGTGACTGGAGGTAGCATCTCTGAGAGTGGGGCTCTCAGACCCCTTAAGAGTAACCACTTTTCATTCACCCATCCTTCTACCCATTCAACCATTTTATAAGTATTAAGTGCCTTCTAGGTTCCAGGTTCTGAAGAATAACAGCTGAATAAAACAGGCACCCGTTTCCAAGGAGCTCACAGTCTAGTGGGGGAGGAACCAAATCAACAATTAGAGTGTGGTATAAAAAAGGCTATGATAGTGGCATGCATGGGATATGGAGCGCCACGGAGGGGTGCCTAACAGCTTGGAGAATTTAGGAAGACTTCGTGGAAGAACAGACACCAGCTTATGTGTTGAAAAGCAAGAGTCAGAGCTTGTTTGGACACTCCCAAGCATCCTCTATAGAAAGATCATCTTTGGAACTTGGAGTAGGGTTCATTTTTGGATGCAGTTTATTTGTGAGTGAAGAAAGGGCTATCCCATTTAACAAGCCATGTCGACCATACTAGTCCTGGCAGACAGGAGGGCTGGAGGGAGGTGTGTCCAGGCTAGGAAACTCTTCTTTTTTTTTTCTCTCTAAATTTTTATTTTAGAGAGAGCAAGGGGTGGAGGGGGAGGAAGAGAAAGAATCTTAAGCCGACATGGGGCTTGATCCCACAGCCCTGGGATCATGACCTGAGCTGAAATCAAGAGTTGGAAGCTCAACTTACTGAGCCACCCAGGCACCCCTAGAAAACTCTTCTAATAGCTAAGAGATAAATAGATGAAGAATGGGAGGAAAAGCAATTCCAGACTAGAAGCAAGATGACATTTGGGAAATTTCAGCCAGTTTAAAGTGAAGAATGTCGGCTAGGGATCTATGGGAGAAGTGTTAACTGAAAGATTTGGGGGTAGGGAGCTGATAATACTGGCCCTTAGAAATCTTTTTTGGCATCAGAAGATGAGTGGAGAAGATGAGTGGAGGGAAGACCATTAGGAGCTCCCATTCCTAGTCCAGGCAAGAGAGGATGGAGGCCTGAACTAAGGCAGCAGTGATGGAATGAGAGGTATAATTTCGTCAGTTGTAAGATGTACTTTTCTTCCCCCTCATTTTAATATCTCTGAAACTTGGATGCTTCTAAAAGTCAGTGGCACTTCATAGTTTAAGTGGCAAGATTTTTTCCTTTCTTAGAACTGCATAACATAATGGTTTGTCTTACAATGGTTGGTATCTTGGATTTGATGAAGCTTGGCATTTTGAAGGTGCAATAGATTGCATCTTGTTAAATAAGATGGCGGGGGATGGGTGAGGAGAAAGAGTCTTAGACAGTGCTTGAATTTCTAGCTTGAATGCTGATAATGGATGTTGGGGACCCACTCAGCAGACTATGGAGGGGCATGACGTCCCTGATATTTCCCAGAATAATGAGCCATCTGTGTTTGCTGTATTAATCCACCATGCTGGCCCTGTCCAGGTTCACTAGGTATGAGTAGCAGCTGACTGTCCTTGCCTTTCTCCACCCTAGCTGTCTGGAAGGAGGGTTTGCTGTGTCCTTAACCGTTTCAGGCCCTCAGCCAGCCTGCCAGCATTGGGAGTCCTGTAGATGCAAAGATGATAAATACTGCTTAGTGAGCTTTTATTCTGCCAGGCATATCCATTACCTGATTGGATTTTCACATAACCAACCGTCTGTGAGGCACATTGTATTCCTTTTTAGAAAATGGAAACATCTGCTCATAGATGAAGGAACAGGCCAATGGTTATATAGGCAGTGGTGCGGCTCAGACTCCCACCGTCCTGTTGGATTCAAGTCTGAGCATGACCAGCCCTAGACATAGAGGTGTAAGAAGGTTAAAATACAAAAGCCAGAGTAAGATGTGCGTGTGGGGTACTATCGGAGTAGTTCACTGGGGTGTGGGGTGAGCACGCAGGGGATGTATATCACGGCCCAGAGAAGTTAAGTAACTTACCTAAGGACATGGAGCTCATAAGCAGTGGAGCCCGCGTTCCTGGCACTAAAGCCTGTGCAAACCCCCCACGCACAAGCTAGGGTTCATCCTGTTATGGAGCTGGAGCTTGGGAGGAAGGAGCTGCTAAGTGCCCGGAGTAATTATTTCCAAGTACCTTTGAGTCCGCAGACCACTCTCTACTTGAAAGTTCTTGTCTTCATTTTGATTTGCGGTATTATCATTTCCTGCTTTTTTCCTACCTCACTGACAACACCTTTTCTGTCTCCTGACACCCAGCTTTTGGATTGCTCTGGGGCCTATTCCGTAGCCCTCTTTTCTCCCCGTTAGGTGATCAAACCCATTCCCGTGGATTACATACCCCCTTTATGCTGTTGGCGTGTTTGCATGTCTCCAGCCCTGCCCTCTCCTGAGCTTCATGCAGACTCACTTATCCAACAGCCTCACTGACATCACGACAAACCTAACATGTCTGACACAAAAGTCTGGAATTCTGCCCCAAGCGTGTTTCATCGCCAGTCCTCTCTCAATTGCTGTCAACACCTAGCTCACACTGTTTTTGAGGCCAGAAATCTAAGTCATCCTCGGTTCTGTTTGTTCTTCCCACACCAGTCAGCAGGTCTTCTCTCAGCTGCCTTCAAAGTATATCCCAAATCTGACTGCTTCTCACCTCCTCCACCCATACCCTTCGGGCCAGACACTGGGTGTCCCTGGCCTGGACTAATGTGGTGGCCTCCCAACAAACCTCCCTGCCCCTGTTCTCACCCTGTTTCAGGTAGGCTCCACACTGTCAGCGCAGTGCCCAATGTGAGGCTCGATCTCACCAACCATGAGGTCATGACCAGAGCCGAAATCAAGAGCTGGACGCCTCACCGACTGAACCACCCAGGTGCCCCAGTAGCATTGTCCTTTAAAAATATAAATTGGGGGGCGCCTGGGTGGCTAAGTCGGTTAAGTGTCCGACTTTGGCTCAGGTCATGATCTCATGGCTTGTGAGTTCGAGCCCCACGATAGGCCCTGTGCTGACGGCTCGGAGCCTGAAGACTACTTCAGATTATGTGTCTCCCTCTCTCTCTGCCCCTTCCATGCTCATGCTCTGTCTCTCTCTGTCTCTCAATAATAAATAAATGTTTTTAAAAATTTTTAAAAACAAAACCAAAAACTTTAAATTGGGTCCTAACACTTCTCTATAAAAATGATCCAAGAATTTCTCATTACACTTAGACTAGAACCCAACCTTCTTCCCAGGATTCTGTGTGATCTTGGCATGTTCCTGCATGACCTTGTCCCTTTAAGAAATCAAGCTCCTTTCTGCTTCAGAGACTTTACATTTGCTGTTCTGCCTGCCTGGAACATTTCCCCCAAGGTCTTTGAATGGTTTGTGACTTCTCTCACCTTTTAGGTCCCTACTCAAGTAGCACTGCCTTGATTCCCTTGTCAGAGACACCAACTCCTCTCATGTCAAAGTAACTTCCGGTTCTGCCTTGTTTCCCAGAGCACTTATCATGAACAGACATGATTTGTTGCCTTTCCCTCCACATTCGAGTGTGAGTTCTGTGAGGACAGAACAGTGTCCGTCTTGTTTACTGCTGTGTCCCTTGCAACTGAAGTAGTGCCTGGCACGTAATAAATACTCTAATGTATGAATGGATGGACATCTATGGGTGTGTAATTACTTAGTCAACATCACTGATAGAAATATAACATGAGCCATATGTATAGTTTTAAATTTCTTAGTAGTTACAGTAAAAAATAGAAACAGGCAAAGTTAACTTTAACAATATATTTTATCTCACCCAATATATCCTAAATATTAACACTTCAACAAATAATACTAAAAAAATTTTAGTGTGTTTTCTCATATGTACATATTTGAACTCTGGTGTGTATTTTACAGATATAGCACATCTCAATTCAGACTAGACACATTTTAGGCCCTTAAGGGCTAGTGGCTACCATGTTAATACAAGTAAAGACAGTCTACTGTTCTTTTTTTTTTATTTTATTTTTTTAAATTTATTTTTTTTTAATGTTTTATTTATTTCTAGGAGAGAGAGAGAGACAGCCTGAGCAGGGGAGGGTCAGAGAGAGGGAGTCACAGACCGAAACAGGCTCCAGGCTCTGAGCTGGCAGTCAGCACAGGGCCCGACACGGGGCTCGAACCCACGAACCGCGAGATCATGACCTAAGCGAAAGTCGGACGCTTAACCGACTAAGCCACCCAGGCGCCCCAACAGTCTACTGTTCTTGTTCTCTACTTCCTTGTGAGATTCCAGAGCAGAAGGAAGCTAGAAACTTCTGACCGATGGGGACAAGTGTCTTTTGAGCTACCCCTGCGTCTTCTCCCCCTTCAGAAGGAAGTCTTGGGGATGTCCAGGCTAACAGATGCATGATCATGTCCTTAGAATAATACTGATAATGACTGAACTTCTACTCTGTGCCAAGCACTTCACATAATCTCATTTAATTCACACAAGAGTCCCATTTTACAGATTAGGAAATAGGTTCAGGAAAGCAAAGTAAGATCTACACATCTGGTAGTGTTACAGCTGCAACATAAACTTGGTTAAGAGGTAAAGCCAGCATTACCATTAGTATGCTGTAGTGGTTTTTGTTGTTGTTGTTTGGCTTTTTTTTTGTTTTGTTTTTTAGAAAGAGAGAGAGAGAGCATTTGCAAGCGGGGAAGGGGGCAGAAGGAGGGAGAGAATGAATCCCAAGCAGACTCCACACCCAGCACAGGATCCAACACGGGCTTGATCCCTGGCCATGGGATTATGGCCTGAGATGAAATCAAGAGTCAGCCGCTCAGCCGACTGAGCCACCCACGTGCCCCAGTATGCTGTAGTTTTTAATTTGCCACTAATGGTCCACGTGGCAGGGACAAATTAAGGTAAATACAAAGGGTAAAAGGAAGGCTGACTTGACTCTTGGACTTGTTGCCTCCCTCCTGGTTTTCTCTTTCAGTTTCTCAGACATCTCAGGCCTGATTTTGGTGTTAGACTGTGTTCAGATCTCAGTTCCGCCAATGATTAAAATCATCGAATCCCCCATTTCCTCTTCTGGACAATAGAAACGCTAATGCTAACGTCATGAGCACTTGAGAAAATCCAGGAAGATGATAATGTCTGTAAAGCGCCGTGAACAGTGCCAGTGGCTAGTCCCTACTCAGAACACACTCCTCTCTCCCCCTCCAGGTTGCTGGGAGAGACAGAAGTGTCCCGTGACCACACAGCCCCGCCCCTTCCCTTGCATATTCTCCTGTGGGGTCCTGGAAGCCAGTGCTGCTGACTCAGCGTTAGGGCAGGTGGGAGGATGTGGGGCAGCTGTTAGAACTTGTGCCTAGGAACCTACCCGGTACTAACAAGCTTCTTTTTGGAGCGCGCTGTTCGTCCAGTTGCCAAATCTAGACACCTCCGAGAGGCTCTTACCTTCTCCCTCTCACACCTCTCCCACACCCTGGGGATTTCTTTCACAGTGGCTCCTGGGCCGGCTACCTCCATTCCCTCCTGTTGCTGTCCAGGGATTATGTCCTTGCTCCAGCCTGCCTCATCTGGCCTGCGGTATTACAGGGCCTCCTTCCACACCGGCTGCCAGAATCATCTTTCTAAACCAACCCAACCATGTCACCCATACTTAAACCAATATTCGGGACAGTGTAAATTACTCACCTTGTCATTCATCCGACAAATACTGGGGTGGGATGGGGTGACTTACCATATGCCTATGCAGTTCTTATAGGTATCGAAATACAGCAGTGAACAGAACAGCAAAAGCCCTGCCCTAGGGACCTTCACAGTCTAGAGCCCAGCAGCCCTTTACAGCCCTCTCTTCCCCCAAGCCGGTCCAGCCCACCTCTCCTGCACCATGCTTTCCGGTCTCTTTGCCTCCCGAGCCTTCCCTTGCTGGCCACACCAGTCCCCTCCTCCTCCCCAAGGCGCCCATAGGGTGGTCCAGGACCAGGCCCCTCTTCCAGCCAACTAGAGCCCGCTGCCCCTCCCTTGCCCCTCCTGGATTGTGAGCTAAGAGCCAGAGGCTTGGGACCTGCGCGGTGCCTCTAGGCCTGGGCTGGCCACCCCACCGCACAGGAAGCGGGGAAGGAGTGCGGCCCTCACTCCACCCAGGAATGTCTGGTCCCCAGGTAAGCATCCTGACACAGTACTGGGAGGGACCAGGACCCTGTGGGGAGGCGCTCTCCTAGAGCCCAGCCTGCCTCTCCATCTCTTAAGGGTGGCGTCAGGGGTGGCGTCCTGGGACCCCACAGGGCCTGGACAGACCCGAGAACGGGGAAGGGGGCGTGGCTATCTCCCAGGGGTGTGGCCTGTAGGGCTGTGGGGTGGGGAGCATCTCTAACTCTAGTGGCGGAGCCCTGAGTTCCTGCGCGGGATGGAGCACCCCGCCCGTGAGCATGCTCACTGCAGTTCGTGCCCTGGATTCCGGATAGAGAGGCTGTGCGACCTCGGGCCGTTGCCTTCTGCCCTCTCCCGCCCACAGCTCGGTGTTCTGCAGTTTCCGCCTGCTCACTTTTCTGCTCTCTCTCACCGGCCTCAGGGCTGCCTGCGTTTTCTTCCCTTTCTCCCCTCTACTCCCAACCATATCCGACCCAGACACCTCCTTACCAAACATCACCGCTACTCAAGGTCATTCGGGCATATCCCCAACTTCGGGCTCCCCGCCCACCGCGCCTCTGGTGCGCCCCTTTCTCCCTGGGATCCAGCCTCATTGTGCTTTTGCACCTTTTACCCCTTTGCCCCTACTTCCTTGGAGACTCTCCCTAAATATCGCCACATTAATGAAACCTTTCCCTCCTGCCACCGCAGACGTAGTCTGGTGTTCCACTGTGCGCCCACAGCAAGGGGACAGCCCGTTGCCCAATGTAACACTTGTGCACTGTCCCTACTCGAGTCTGCCTCCCCTACCAGACTCCTTCCTTGTTGGGGATGCAGCCTGGCTCTTGTTCTCTGCCCTGGAACGCAGTCCTGGCACAGAGCGTCAACAAATGTTTCTTTTTTTTTTTTTTATTTTTTTTTTATTTTTTTTATTTCTAGGAGAGAGAGACAGAGACAGCATGAGCAGGGGAGGGTCAGAGAGAGAGGGAGTCACAGGCCGAAACAGGCTCCAGGCTCTGAGCTGGCAGTCAGCACAGAGCCCGACACGGGGCTCGAACCCACGAACCGCGAGATCATGACCTAAGCGAAAGTCGGACGCTTAACCGACTACGCCACCCAGGCGCCCCAACAAATGTTTCTTAAAATGAGTAAATGGAAGATCATAGGCATTGGGTAAATGTTGGGTGTGTGTGGAGGGTCTGGATTGCTGAGAGTTCTTTTAAGAGAGCTTCTTGGAGGACAGACTCAACAGGCTTTGGTGCAGGGGAGAGATGCGATTTGTCACAGTGAGAGGATCTTTGGGAAGCACCAGAGTGACACACTCTACTGATTTAACGATCATTGGACAACTTCGATTGTCAGGCCTCTTGCTGGGCACAGGGGACCTCAGTCTGCACTCAGGTTGCTTGCCCTGCAGTAGACAAGGAAGACAAGGTAGGCGGTGTCAGTGCAGAGTGCCAAGTGTCACACGGTGAGCACACGGAGAGGTGGCCGTGCAGAGGAGGAGTGCTCACTCTAGGGGGGAGGGTCAGCCTTCCCAAGAAGGACCACGAACGAGCCTGAGAGCAGAGGGAGGGCCAGAGCCAGGGGCAGTTGACAGAGGAGGCCGAGAGCTGAGCCAGCCTCATCCTAAGGGCTTGTGCGCCAAAGGAAGGAGGTGGACTCCATCCTGGGGGATTGGGGAGCCACTGACAGGCTTCCACAAAGTTCGGGAGTGACACGATCTAGTCCTGCAGGCCACTTCTGTGCGATGCCTCAGACCCTTCCTCTGAGAAGCCTTCTCTGAGCCCTCTGTCAGGCTGGACCCCTCTTCTTTGCTCCCCTGGCAGCCTGGTCACCTCCCCTTTTCTGTGCAGGGTCGAACACCTCTGCTGGCCCGAGCTCCTTGAGACACAAGGCCAGGTCTTAATCTTTTCCACGTCCCAAGCACCAGGCACTCAGTCTTGCTCATGACCAAATGTTTGCTGAATGAATGGACGGCTCCTTTCGTCTCTGGATTTCTAGAGCCTTACATCCTTACACCCGGAACCTGAAAAATTGCATTTAATTGGGAAGGAGGAGGCCCGATTCAAATCCTGGCTCCGTCATTCACTGGGACATGTCACTTTATCTTGAAACCTCAGTTTCCTCTTCTGTGAGATGGGGTACCACCATGAACAGAGTCTGGGAGTCCCCACATGCATGCATGAGCCTTGTTTCCTGATAGACCGTGAGTTCTGTGCAGGTGTTCCCAGCACCTGGCACAGGCCGAGCTTACAGGGAGTACAATGCTCAGTCCTATTGGTTGGTAGAGAGCAGAGTGCAGAGTTAAGGGGAAAGAACACCTAAGGTGAAGTTGTAAGTCCCGGTCTGCCACTTCTGGTGTGACTTTGAGCAAGACTGAGTCTTCTTTGCCTTACCTGGCAAGTAGGGATATTAACCCTCACCTTGGCAGGCCTCACGGGCCAATGGAAACCATAGACATGAAAGTGCTTCATAAATGAGATGATACAGTAGATAATCGATCATTAATTAAAAACAACAACTCAAGTAGTACAGATGAGGTGTGTGTGGTAACTGCTGGCAATGCCCCAGGCATCTGCTGACTACCCCTGACTGGCAGAGATGCGGGGTTGGTGCCCTGGCAGCAGCTGGGCTGGGGACGGAGGTGTCTGGTCTCGCTGGGGTCAGCCCCAGGGCCCAGGAGAGACCCGGAGGCAGGGGTTCCTGGGGAGGAACTCTGCAGCCAGCCTTGACTCCCAGATTTCTCAGCCAACGTTCTTCTGTCTTAGGTTTTGTAGGGTCCCAGGAATCCTGATGGCCGGCCTGGGGGAGTAGTGTGCCCCACAGCGCCGTCCTGAGAGACTCCCAGTTCTGAACTCCCAGTCCAGCGCCCTCCTCCCAGGCTCTGACATCTTGGTGGCAGAGTTTATGGGCCATAATTTGTCTTTAAGTCTAGCCTGGGGCAGACACGGGGCGAGTAGAGGCAGAGTCTCCACTTCCTCACCTTTAAAATGAGTGAAGATTAAATGCGAAAGCAGATGCGACCACGCCTCAGGATTTGCAGATTTTACTCAGGTTCAAGATTGGTGTTTACAGATGACCAGTGGGGCTTCCCTGTTTCAGGAAGCACTGGGGCTCTTTCTCCCAAAGAAACTTTGTGCCACAGGCCATTTATGTGTACAGAGTGCACGTTTGGTCTTAGAGGAAAACCAGAGCCGGCCAGGCTACGGAGACGGGCAGGGCTGGCTGATCCCTGGCGCCCTGGGGCCCCGGGGCAGGGCTGCTGCTCCTGGGGAGGATGAAAGCGCCCTGTGGGGCTGACCCCCGAGCTCCTCCTGGCTTCCTACACCACACACCGCCTCCTGCCCGGCCTTAGAATCCAGCAGGCGGGACTACCTTCCACTCACTGAGGATGTGATTTGAGCCAGTATCTCCAATTCTCTGAGCCTCGGATTTTTCATTCATAAGATAATGACAGCACCACCTCCTGAGGTCGTCAGGGTCAGGAGACCGAACCCAGTGAAAGGGGCCTTGTGGACTGTTTTGTGCTGCTCTCATCTCTCATCTCTTCCCCTGCCGGAGCTGGGCCTGATGTTCTGGTTGGCGCTTGTCAGAACCAGGACCTCGGGGCAGCCCCGTCCTTCTGAGGGAGTGAAGGGAGTGAGCACGGCCTGCGGGACAAGGGAGCCTGACTCTGCAGTGGGTCCCTTTTGTGCTTGCTACCCCTCAGGTAGCCTCTCACCCCCTGGAACATTCCTGGGGGTGAGGGGGTGGCCCTGTCCCAGTGTTATTTTTTATTCCTGTGGGACTCACCTCACAGGAATAGAAAATATTACAAGTAGCTTTGTAATTTTTTTTTTAAAGGGCTCACCTATGGGAAAAGGCCCATCTCTCAGATAGGGGAAGGGCCCATATCCCTTGTACCTGGGGCCATGGGGGTAGCAGCAGAGCCACCCGCGGGCTGGAGGGAGGTCTGTGCTGTGGGCAAGGGGTGCAGACAGAGGGGCTGCAGACGGCGGTGTCCCTGCCTCAGTGGCTTTGCTGTTGCACTTCCCCGAGACACTCATCTTCAGCATCTTGGTCTTTACCTCCTGGTGTCCTTCATCTACTGCCCATCTCATTGCAGTCAGTGCAACAGTGTTGGGAGGGTGTGGTCCAGGGAACAGGAGCCACCTGGTCCCGGGAGCCCCTTTTGGGACTCTTTGACCTTGGGAACCCCTTGCCCCTCTCCCCTGAGTCCCAGGTTCGTGCACCAGTTTCTTCCTGATCAACAACCAGAGCCATCTCTACATGAATGAATTTTCCTGGAAGGATGTTACCAATGCCTTGTCCCTGGCCAACATGATCCTAGGGCTCTTCTCCATCTTCTGCAGCTTCTGCAAGTAGGTCTGGGGCCCAGCAGGGTTGTAGCCAAGAGCTGAGCCAATGGCATGGGACGGGGAGTGGGGAGCCTAGATAGCCAGGCACTGAGGCACAGGGTCAGCTGGGGGCAGGAGAAAGGGTAGTGATTGGGAGTCAAGAGGCCAAGATCCTAGCCTCAGTTCTACTACCAGCCTGATATGTGACTTTGGCTGGTCACATCTCTGAGCCTTGGTTTCACCATCATTGAAACAAGGTGCTTGTGATCACTAAGCTCCTTCTAGCTATGAGAAAACCAAGAGATTCTGTTCTGGTGGCCTTTCCAGAATCCTTGGGTAGGCAGACTGTCATTAAAAATTTTTGATTCTTAAATTAGAACATATGATCTGGGGAATATTTACAATCAGCACTATTGTGGAAAATCTGGGATGTGTTTATGGGCCCCTAAAAGGAATTATATTTCTACAAATTGAATCATATGTCAATGCCTTGGCAAATCAGTTCTTTAAAGATAAATCCTTTATAATGCAGATAACATCTTCCTAAGCTGGTTGATACTCTATAACCATCAGCAGGTGACTTCTCTGGATCTGTTTCACATCCATAAAATGATTTTGCCTGATGATGTTTGAGTTCCCTTCCAGTCTGAGAATTTTATGAGTCTCTAAGTCTGGATTTTTTGTAGTCTTATAAAGTAGAGCATATCTACAGCAGAAAATCTCCAACTTCTTAGTGCAGTTCAATCTTCGGGGACTGTAGTTAAAAGAAATTTTTATTTTAATGTTTATTTACTCTTGAGAGAAAGAGAGAGAAAGACAGAAGCGTGAGCCGGGGAGGGGCAGAGAGAGGGAGACACAGAATCCAAAGCAGGCTCCAGACTCTGAGCTGTCAGCACAGCGCCCGACACAGGGCTTGAACCCACAAACCTTGAGATCATGACCTGAGCTAAAGTCAGATGCTTAACCAGCTGAGCCACCCAGGTGCCCCAGTTCTGAGAGTGTGGTTTTTATAATACAATGGTGGGTGCAGTTCCCTTTAGACATACAGAAAGGTAGTGCTGAGTTTGTTTGGAGAGAGCTGATGCCTGGGGTGAGGCTCTCTGCTTCTGCTTGGCCATCCAAGCATTGCAATGAGGGTATAGACTTAGAAATGGCGTTCTAGGGCAGCCTTGCCTGAGACTCTGGTGGCTGCTTTTAAAGAGGTCTGGAAGCATGTGCTGGGCTGAAGCACAGAATCCTTGAATGTAGGCTCTGAAAGAGATCTTGGAAATCATTTAGAGCATCAAAATATGTGAGACAAAAAAAAAAATAATAACTGCCAGGAGAAATGGACACATCTGTGATTGTAGTTGGATATTTCAACACCCCTCTATCAGAAACTGACATCCAGTTGGTAGAAAATCAGTGAGGATTTCAGTGGAACTGAACAGCACCATCCATCAACTGGATGTAATTGATACTTATAGAATACTTTATCCAATAACAGCAGAATACACATTCTTCTCTTCACACCTTTAGGCTATAAGACATACCTCAACAAATGTAAAAGAATAGAAATCATATGAAGTATGTCCTCCAATCACATGGAATGAAAGTAGAAATCAATAACAGAAAGATAACTAGAAAATCCCAAAACATGTCAAGGTTAAGCAACACGATTCTGAATAATACATGCATTAGAGAAGAAAAGTATTCTTTTTAATTTTTTATTTATTTTTGAAAGAGAGAGAGAGCAGAAGCTGGGGAGGGGCAGAGAGAAAGGGAGACATGGAATTAGAAGCAAGCTCCAGGCTCTGAGCTGTCAGCACAGAACCTGACATGGGGCTTGAATTGAGACCATGACCTGAGCCAAAGTTGGACGCTTGACCAACTGAGCCACCCAGGCGCCCCAGGAAGAAAAGTATTTTGAACTAAAAGAAAATGGAAATATAACTTGTCAAAATTTGTGAGCAGCAGTGAAAGTGATAGTTAGAGGGAAATTTATAGCATTGAATGTATGTACTAGAAAAGAAGTCTGCTCTGTGGAAGACAACATCAGGAGAATTAGAAGGCAAGCTGCAGGCTGGGAGAAAATATTCACAAAAGGTACATCTGAGAAAGGACTATAATCTAAAATAGACAAAGCTTCAAACTCTTTTTTTTTTTAATTTTTAATGTTTTATTTATTTCTGAGAGAGAGAGAGACAGTGTGAACAGGGGAGGGTCAGAGAGAGAGAGGGAGACACAGAATCCGAAACAGTCTCCAGGCTCTGAACTAGCTGTCAGCACAGAGCCTGACGTGAGGCTCAAACCCACGAACTGTGAGATCATGACCTGAGCCGAAGTCAGATGCTTAACCGACTGAGACACCCAGGTGCCCCAAAGCTTCAAACACTTGAATAAGAAAACAAACAACTCAGTTAAAAAATGGGCCAAAGACCTTAACAGAGACCTCACCAAAGAAGATATGCAGATGGCAAGTAAGCATGTGAAAAGATGTTCCACATCATATGCTATCAGGGAGATGTGGTGAGATGCTCCTATACAGCTGTCAGCCAAGCAGTTGTCCAGAACACTGACAGCACCAAATGCTGGCGAGGATGTGGAGCAACAGAACTCTCATTCATTGCTGGTGGGAATGCAAAATGGTTCAGCCACTGTGGAAGACAGTTTGGCAATTTCATAAAGCTAAACCTAGTCTTACCATATGATCCAGCAATCATACTGTTTGGGATTTATCCAAATGAATTGAAAACTATGTCCACACAAAACCCTGCACTTGGATGTTTATGATGTTTAATTTACAATTGCCAAAACTCACAAGCAACCAAGATATCTTCTAATAAGTGAATAGACAAATAAATTGAGGTATTTCCAAACAATGGAGGATTGCTCAATCTTTCTAAAAAGAAATTACCTGTCAGACCCTGAGAAGACACACAGGAATCATAAGTGCATATTACTAAGTGGAAGAAGCCAATCTGAAAAGACTACATACTGTATGATTACAATGATATGATATTCTTGAAAGGCAAAAATATCAAGACAATAAAAAGATCAGTGATTGCTACAGGAGGGTGGGGGGAATGAACAGGTGGAGCACAGAGGGTTTTTAGGACACTGGAAATGCTCTTCATGATGCTATGATAATGGGTACTTGTCATCATACATTTGTCCAACACCATAGAATGTACAACACCAAGAGTGAACCCAAAGGTAAACTATGGACTTTGGGTGACTGCGTGTCAACATAGGTTCATCCTTGGTATGTGCCAAGAATTGGAATGTACTGTTCTGATGAGTGATATTGATAATGTGGGAGGCTATGCATAGGTGGTGGGTGGGGGAGTAGATGGGAAATTTCTGTAGCTTCCTTTCAATTTTGCTGTAAACCTAAAACCTCTCTCCCCCAAAAAATAAAGTCTTAGAAAAAGAGAAAAAAAAAGGAAGACTGAAAATCAATAGTATAAGCTTCCACTGCAGCAAACTAGAAAAAAAAAAGTTAAATCCAGAGTAAGCAGAAGAAAATAATAAAAATGAGAGCAGAGGAGCACCTGGGTGGCTCAATCCGTCAAACATCTGACTCTTGATCTCAGCTCAGGTCTTGATCTCAAGGTCATGAGTTCAAGTCCCGCGTTGGGCTCCATGCTATGCGTGTGAAGCCTACTTAAAATAAAAAAAAAATTAAAAAAAAAAAGAGGGCCACCTGGGTGGCTCAATCAGTTGAGCATCCGACTTTGACTCAGGTTATGATCTTGCAGTTCGTGAGTTCGAGCCCACATTGGGCTCACTGCCACCACCCTGTCTGCACAGAGCCCGCTTCTGATCTTCTGTCCCCCTATCTCTGTGCCTCCCCCACTTGTGTTCTCCCAAAAATAAATAAATATTTAAAAAAAGAGAGAGCAGCCATCAATGAAATTAAAAGTAAGAAATCAGTAGAGAAAATCAATGAAACCAAAAGCTGATTAATTCTTTGGAAAAATCAATAAAATTGATAAGCCTCTAGGCAGGCTAACCAAGAAAAGTAAGGAAAAAAAGAGAATGCACAAACTACCAGTATCAAACTACCAGTATCAGAAATTAGAGAGCCATCACTACTGATCTCATGGACATTAAAAGGATAATATAGGAATATTATGAACAACTCTTATAAGTGTGATAGCCTAAATCAAATGGACCAATTCCTTAAAAGGCATAAGTTACCTAAACTTGCACTAGGAGAAATAGCTCATCTGAATAGGCCTCTATCTATTAAATCATTTGGCACAAACCCCTCACTTTCTAGATGGAGGAAGAGAGGCCCAGAGGGGTAGGAAGTGGTTTATCTGACAATCCACAGTGACATGGTTGTAGAGGCTGGGAACATGGGACCCCTGTGGCCTCAAATACGCCTGAGATTTAGAGTTGGAAGTGCCCTTAGTGATTATCTAAGGGGCTCGAGGCCGAGGCGCCGCCTTTAAGACTGTGGGTTGAGAGTACGGCAGGGATGTGTGTGTGTGTGTGGTGTGTAAAGCAGAGTATTTCAGAAAGAACATGAGTGTGGGGGACATGCAGGGCAGGGCATGTGTATGCAGGCAAGTGTGGGAAGTGTGTAGTGCCGTGGAGGGTGGGCACTGCCCAGTGGAGACCATGACCGAGCTGTCCTATCCGGGCCTGCCGCCCTACGTACACTTCAGGAAATGCTACTGTGCCTCCTGGATGCTTCTGATCAGCTTCCTATTAGACACGGCGGTTGTGACAATAACCAAACACCTCGGCCTCTGCTCCAAATCAGGTGAGTCCAGGCCTCAGACCCCTAATCGCTGGCCCCAGCAGCCATCTCGGGTCACCCTTCATCATCTCACATCCAGCAGGCGCTCAGGAGTCAGCAGTCCTGTTCATCTCCCTCCGAGGATGGCAGAAGCAGCCGGAGAACAGTCCGGGAGCCCCACGATCTAGACCTAGCCTCCCCCCCACCCCCCCCTCCACCGGCTCATGTGTTGGTCCTTAATCATCCTTCCCCAGCCCGCTGTTTGCTTAGCAGGGCTGCCTCCCTGTTAGGGCCGCGCGGGACTGGGCGTGGGTGGTGGCTGCTGTGCTCAGGAGCCGGGAAATGAAAAATCACCCCAGTGGAGCAGCTGGTTTAAAATAATAGAAAATATTTCCATGTAAGATTTTGCTTGAAAAAAGGGTTCCGTGGCTTGTGAATTTGTATCCGGTCGTAGTCCAACCCTGGATGTTCAAGGACAGGAAATCTAAGACCTGAGAAGGAAAGACTTGTCTAAAGCCGCCCGGTCCGTGTGAGGCAGAGCCTGGAGGAGCCCGCTGTCCTTTAGCCCTGGGGCCTGGAGCAGCTCTGGGACCTCACACCCAGCTTGGCACCTCTGAAGCTCCCCCACCTCAGGGGACTGAGGTGCAAGACAAATGAGCAAATGGGTACAAGTGGGTAAGTCCTAACCTCGACCTTCTGGAGCAGGGGTGGAGCTGAATGACTTTGCTGTCTTCACCACCTTTGGCCTGGCCTCTGCCCTGCTCCTAGGCGTGGATGGGCCTCTGATTGGGTTCCTGGCCATCATCTATGTGTTAGCTGCTACTTTCCGCCTGTGTTTTTATTCAACTGGTGAGTGGACCCCAGCCTTATAGCTGAGGGTGGGGAGCCACCGAGGGGCGCTGTTGGATGCCAGGAGCCTTGGGGGGGGGGGCGATATTGACTCCTCCCTCTCCTCTTCGGTCCCTTTTCCTTCCCTCTCCTGTGTCCCCAGCCCACTGGAGGCTGGAGGCTGCCAGGGCAGAGCCCTGCAGGCAGGCAGGGGCCCATGGTTCTCGGACCAGCTGGGCCCCCTTCTCGTTGTGTGACCTGTGGATGGTGCACAGAGACTCACAGAATCCGGAACTGGAGGCCATCCTCCAGGTTTCTACAACAGCAAGAGAAGCGAGCTCTGGCCGAGGGCAGTTGCCTTGCCCAAGGTCACAACGCAAGGGGGTGTAGATGCGGACTAGAGACCTCAGAGGACCCTCTTACAGAGCTTTCCCCAGGGCCCGGGCCCACGCCTTGTCCTAGTCACTGCCTGGCAAGGGAGGGGATCTGGAGCGGGCGGCAGACCTGACAGAGCCAGGCTCACTTTGTTCGGATTGCGTCAGAGCGGTGGGAGGCAGCTGACCTCCGCCTCTTCCTTCCCTGGCAGGTGCTCCCTTCACGTACAAGGGTCTCCCCTGCCGCTACGCTTCCTGTGTTTTGGCCTCCACCTGCCTTCTGACCAAAGGCAACACGTTCATTCTCTCTTGCATGGCCTCACTGATGATTCTATTCATGATGGACCAGAGCTACTATCCACATGACGAAATCCTGGAGTCCGAGAACTGGAAAAAATTGATTTATCTAGGAGGTGAGTGAAAATACTGCTCTCAAATGTCACCAGTGCTGGTTTAGTATCGCTGCTGCTCATGGCTGCCCTGTACCTCACGCCCACACCCCTCCCTGTACTCACCCTCCTTTATTTGTGTCCTTGGAGTTTATCACCATCTGACATGTATCTACTTGTTCATTGTCTATACACACTAAACTTGCCCCAGAGAGAAGACTCTCTTTTATTCAAGAAATAATCCCTGGACCTCGGATTGTGCCCACCATGTGGTAGATGCTGAACAAGTATTTGTTGAATGCTATTGAGTTCAATCAGTAGTTCAACCTACCATATGCCAGGTACTGGGACCAAACTGGCACACTAGACAAACACTTCCTGCCTCGGGATTCACAGTCTGATAGGGGAGACAGACACCAACCAAATAATGGCAGAAATAACTAGAAATCCATAGTTGTTTTTAAAAAGTTTATTTATTTATATATGTAAGTATATAATATATACATATTATATATTAATATATAATAATATAATATTATAATAAAATATAATAATTTTATAAAATATAAATATATATATATACATATAGAGAGAGAGAGAGAGAGAATCCAGAAGGTTCCATGCTAACAGCACGGAGCCCCTGACATGGGCTCGAACCCACAAACTGTGAGATCATGACCTGAGCTGAAACCAAGAGTTGGACACTGGAAACGCACACTTTGGATGTGTAGTAGAAGCACAGGGTGCTCTGAGAGGGTGTCAGAGGGGACCTAATTAGACTGAAATGGTCTGAAGGGTAGAAAGGATGCCTTCAGAAGGTAACATTTAAATGGAACATGGGTGAAGATGGTCAAAGGTACAGACTTCTAGTTAGAAGTAAGTTCTTAGAACGTAATGGACAACATGGTGACTACAGTTAACAATACCACATGTGTGGGGCGCCTGGGTAGCTCAGGTGGTTACACATCTGACTTCAGCCTAGGTCATGATCTCACGGTTTGTGGTTCAACTCCTACATCAGGTGAGCACGAGCCCTGCTTTGGGTGATCCCATTTCTCTCTCTTTCTCTGCCCCTTATGGGATTCTCTCTCTCTCTCTCCCCCTCACTCACTTGCACCCTCTCTTAAAAAAAAACAAAAACAAAAACAAAAACCAGGGCGCCTGGGTGGCTCAGTCAGTTAAGCGTCTGACTTCAGCTCAAGTCATGATTTCGAGGTTTGTGAGTTTAAGCCCTGTATCGGGCTCTGTGCTGAGAGCTCGGAGCCTGGAGCCTGCTTTGGATTCTGTGTCTCCCTCTCTCTCTGCCCCTCCCCTGCTTGTGTTCTGTCTGTCTTTCTCTCTCTCTCTCAAAAATAAACATTAGAAAAAAAGAAATATTTGGAAGTAGCTAAGAGAGTAGATCTTAAATGTTCTCATCGCAAGACAAGAAAATGGATAACTGTGCAGGGGCAGATGCTAACGAGAGTGCTGGGAATGTCACAGGACACACAAATATAAAATCATTACGCTGCACACCTCGGACTAATACAATTTTGTGTTATATGTCCATAATATCTCAATAACACTAGGGGAAAAAAAAAGGAAACCTTCAAGATGACTGGCTAGGTGGGTAAGAGAGGTAGTTCAGAAGAGCAAATGGCATTTTCTAGGCTCCAGGCTAGAAGGTGCTGGATGCATTCGTGCAGCCGTGTGGCTGGAACTTGCTGAGAGATCTGCACCGAGACCAGGAAGGGGCGGGTTTTGGGAACTGATCCTAGCGGCAAACAAGAAGCCTCTGAAGGGATTTGTGAGCAGCAGTTTTAAGGGACCACTTTGACTATAATGTAGAGATCAGATGGCGGGAGACTGAGAACAAAGGAAGAAAACTGACTTGCTGTCATATGAGAGGTGGGGGCGACAGAGCAGATGAAGGGGTTTCAGATGCATGTTGGGACGGAACCGATACTGAGGAAGCCCTGAGGTCCTGGCCACACTGGGGACCTGGCAGATGTCTCCCTGGAGTTCTCCCTGACTCAGGGCTTCCTTCAAGGACTACCAGCATCTCTTCTTCTGAGATGTGCTCATGGGGACAACGTCTACAGAGATACTCGGTTTCTTCCTTTATTCCCTGTGGGTCCAATCTGGTTCATAGGGCCCTTGCTTCCATCCTGATCTTCTCTTTTAGGTTCACACCCTTTCTCTGTAGCATCAGCACCAACGCCCTTGCACAAGTTCTCGGCACCAGCACCCCACCCCCCCCACCCCCCCTGTGGCCCAGCTAGCGGAGGCAGAACAGTGTTGGGAAGCGTCCGGGTTTGCTGCTAAACAGACCTGAGTTCAAGTTCCAATGCCAGCACATGTTAATGGCATGAACTTGGGCTGATGATCTCATTATTTTGAGCTGTTTTCTTCATCTATAGAATGAAGCCAATAATTCCTACTTTAGGATTCTTGAGATTAAATGGGATAATGTATACCAATCCTCTGGCACAGATATGTCCTGTAGATGGAAATTTCTAGTCCCTTCTTCCCTCCACCTGCCCTCCTATCTCATGGCAAGAGTGTTTCCCACAATGCTCTTTGCTCCTGTAGATACTACTGATCCCCTTTTCTCCCAGTAAACCATATGCTGGGCCTCAGTCTTCCTTGGATTATCTTGGCCGTGAGAGTGAAGGAGGAAACTGCACCTCACAGATTTGGATACCACTTAATACCAGACACCAGCTGGACAGATTTCAAAACGGCCACTCTCCATAGTCCTCTTACCTGGAGTGCAGCCGATCACCTTTTTAAACTGAGGTTCCATCTCCTCCACAGAGCTTCTGAGAAGCTGGCCTGTGGCTATGAGACCTTATATCGCGTATTTTCCAGGACAACTCTGGTTTAAAATAATTGTCCCATTGCCTCAACAGATCAATGACTGTTCTGAAATACTAAGTATTCCAAAGTTCCAATACATCTCTGTAACTGCTTCTCACCCTTAGAAGTGATCTTCTGCCAGATCATATGTTCTGATTTTTCTTGAGGAACGCATGCCAGTTCTCCCCATGGAAATGCTGTTGCTCGTACTCTCCCACTCACTCTTTGAGCTTTCCCAGGCTAAGTGTCTAGTTTTTACAAGTCAGGCAGACACGGCTTTGAATCAAGACCTTGTGCAGGTTATATCCCCTCTGTCTCCTCATCTGGAAAACAGACTGGGTTCTGAAGCACAGAATCATGGTGAAATGTAAATGGAGCAATCTTTGTAATATACCCAGCAGATTGTCTAGTGCAAAGTAGATATTCCACAAGTGTTGGGGAATATCTTTTGCCTTTCAGTGGCAAATCTCAGATTCAGATGTGTTGGGGTGCCCCAAGACCACCCCCAAGTTCAGTGCTTCCCTAGGGGACTCAGGATGCGTATAGTCAGATTCATGGCTAAGACTTATGACAGCAAAAGACACAAAGCAAAGGCAGCAAAGGAAAGGGGAAAGGGGAAAAATCTAGAGGAAATGAGGTGCAGGCCCCCAAGCGTCCTCCATGTGGGGTCACCTTGCACAAAACTGTGACAACACTCGTGAAAGTCTTGTCCACCTAGAAGCTCTTTAGAGACTCAGGGCCCAAGAAGTTTATAGGGGCCGGTCACATCAGCACCCTCGGCCTAGCGGTAACAAAATTCTAGATTTACACAGAAGGAAGTCAACGCTCAGGACAGGGAACCATTCTTGCCCATTAGGGAAAGTTCTATGCTGATCTAGGGAACTGTTTACTACCCACTTTCCCGGACTCCAGTCAAAGGCCAACCTGGCAAGCATGCCTTTCTTTCTTTTTCTTTTTTAAAGTTTATTTATATTGAGAGACAGAGTGAGCAGGGGAGGGGCAGAGAGAGAGAGGGCGAGACAGAATGCCAAGCACGCTCCACGCTGTCATCACAGAGCCTCACACAGGACTCGACCCCATGAACCATGAGACATATTACGGCCTGAGCCGAAATCAAGAGTCATACGCTTAACCGACTAAGCCACCCAGGCGCCCCTGGGATCTCTGTCTCTCCCTCTCTCTCTCACGAAGTACGCAAAGTACGCGAAGGAGAGTTTCATACAAACGGAAGGAACGTTTGCCTTTTTTCTCCCTCCAGGTGTCGTCATGCTGCTTTTGTCCCCCTTCTCCCTAACTGCGTTGTACTGCCTGATGTGGTCGCTGTCCTACATCTTCTTTCCAGATGCGCTGTGGGGCAAGGCCGCGTGCTTCAGGCTACAGCACCAAAGAAACTGAGCAGCCTCACCCACTGCCACCGGCCTCGGGCCAAGCATTGCCTTGCCCTCACTAAATCTTGCCTTATCCCTGTGTCTCCATGCTCGATACGTGTGCCTTGAACCAGAGTAACCCACGATAGGGCCTGTGGCCTTCACTTCTTCCTCTTTACTCAGGGCTCTGAATCCCTTGGGGACAATAGCTGTGTCATATAGAACAGAATTTTTTCCAAGATAAAGTTGGGTTGGTTTTGAGTTCCAGCCCTGTTACCGGCTGGGTGACCTTGTGCACCAAGGTCAAACCCTTGGAGTGGAGCGGAACCCTTTTGCCCTGGTATAAGTCTCCACCTTGACCTGATTCTTATTACTCCTATGTGCGGGGACAGGGGAGGGGAGGGGGGTGCTTATTAAAGCATTTCTTCTTCTTCTTCTTTTTTTTTTTTTTTATTAAAGCATTTCTTAAACCGGCTCTGTAGAGCAAAGCAAATCACAGGACAATCACCCGGCCCAACGTGAACATATACAGGATTTTGTAACTTAAAATTCTATGTTTTAACAGTCAAAGCTTCTACCTTTTGCTTCAGATAGAGATTAGACACATTGACGGCTTGAGGGCACCACCTGGTTCCCGTCTGTTTTTTTTCTCAACTATAAAATACTAACCTCTAAATATTCAGATGCCACTTCATATTCTTTTTTTTCTTTTTAAGTTTATTCATTTATTTTGAGAGAGAGTGAGAGAGTGTGAGCACCAGCAGGGGAGGGGCAGAGAGAGGGAGAGACAGAATCCCAAGCAACGGGCTGTTAGCGCAAAGCCCAATGTGGGGCTCGAACTCAGGAACCATGAGATCATGACCTGAGCTGAAGCCAAGAGTCCGACACTTAACTGACTGAGCCACCCAGGCACCCACCACTTCATATTCTAAAATCCAAATTGAATAAAAATAAAGAATATTGTATGGAACCTTAAAGTTGCCCCTCACAAAGAATTTAGGCCTGAAGGCAGGGAGCACCCCCCACCCCAGCACTGCCTCCGGGCCTTCTACCTCGGGCAGTATATCAAAGGATTGTTTGCTGGTTGGGGCCCCTTCCTCAGCTCTGGCGCCAGAGCACCTTTACCTCAGATCTCATTTCTTGAAATTTGCAGACCAAGGTATTTGGTAAATATGTAGTAAGTCTAAAGTCTGATTTTAAAAATAACCATCTGGTGAGTCCCATTGTTACGATTTGGCTTTAAAGGAGCAGAGAGGCCCTCCTTGTCCCTCCTACTCTCCATTCATATCTCAGAGCATTTATATTTTTTCATGGGTGGATGAATATATCTGTGTCCCACCAGATTTCAGGCTCCTTCAGTTTATATGTTTTTATTTCTGCTATTTACTACAGTGGCCGGCGCTCAAAAGTGTTTGCTTTGCAGATGAATTGATTTTATTGTGCATTCTAGCAAATTATATACAAGATTACTATAATGTAATAAGAACCTTACAAATATACATCTATATACACACACGTACAAATGTGTGATGTCCTTTGGTACTACACCCTCACCGTCATTTCAGAGATGCTACACTTCATAATATTTTGGGAAATCCACTTTGAGAACTGTCTTCACAAGCTCTTAGAAGCCAGCCCCTAGCACAGTGCCTAGACATAGTAGGTGCTCAAAAAATACTTGTATTCTGAACGAACCAAATCTGGTCCCAAAACCTACTATTGAAGATTATTAGCCAATGATATCCTCTCCCGAAGCCCCATTAGCTATCAGATTTGCCCTCAAATGACTTCTGGCTTTTTCTAAAATTTTAAACTATGTTCAAAATAAGATACAGTCTGAAAGAGGATCTCTGTGTCCATTTTGGGCCACCGCAGCAGAGTTAAAATAAATATGTAGACCCCCGCCCTTGCCCAAAGATGGCCGCTTTGAGGAGGAAAATACCCATTTGGATATGTAAACTGTGCTTCGTTTCTGACAATAATACATACCTCATTGCCTCAAACACAAGTTTAGGTCAGGGACACAAGGATAGGTATAGGTCAACTGAGAGCCTCTAGATTTCACAGCGGTGATACATGCTTCCTTCCAACCACGTGCAAGTATGCAGCCCTTCGACACTGGTTCTGGGGACCCAGGACACTAATGCTAATTGTGCAGGCCTTCCCCAGGAATAGAAATTTTAAAGTAGAGGCGCCTGGGTGGCTCAGTCGGTTGGGTGTCTGACTTTGGCTTAAGTCATGATCTCACACTTGTGGGTTCAAGCCCCACATTGGGCTCTGTGCTGACAGCTGGGAGCCTGGAGCCTGCTTCGGATTCTCTGTCTCCCTGTCTCCCTGCTCCTCCCCTGCTCTCTCTCTCTCTGTCTCTTTCAAAAATAAATAAATGTAAAAAATTTAAAAAAAAGAAATTTTAAAGTAGAATGGCTAAAATAGGACATTGTTCTAAAGTAAAATAAAATTAATGAAAAAATGAAACAAAATGTTCTAACATAGAACAGCTCTCAGGAACAAGTGGGAAGTCTGAGACTTTAAAAACAAGTTTCTCAGGGGCATCTGGGTGGCTCAGTCTGGTTAAGCCTCTGACTTTGGATCAGGTCATGATCTCATGCTTTGTGAGTTCAAGCTCCACATCGAGCTCTGTGTTGACAGCTCAGAGCCTGGAGCCTGCTTAGGACTCTGTGTCTCCCTCTGTCTCTGCCCCTCCCCTGCTTGTGCTCATCTCTCTCTCAAAAATAAATGAACATTTAAATAAATAAATAAATAAAACACTTCTCAGATGAACACCTGAAGTCAGAGGGATTGATTCTTGACTGGAGGCAGCTCTGCTACCTCTCACCTCAGGACAGAGTGTAGATTTCCCGTCTAGTCCCCCTGAGCTATCCTGTGCCCCGTGAGCAGGGCCAAGTGACTGAGAATTCTGGGGCCTTCTATTTATTTGTTTATCTATCTATCTATCTATCTATCTATTTATTTTAGCTCTGTGAGTGAGTGAAAGGTTTAATCTCTTTAAACCCATTTCCTTAACTGTAAAATGGAATATTTACTTCCTTTCTGGGTTGCCTTGTGAATTAATTACAACACATAAGGTAACTAGAATAGGGAATGGCACGTAAAAGGTGTTAAATAGAAGTTAGATCTCTCCTCCTCTCTCTCTAGGCTTTCTCCCTTCCCATTATACACCTTTCCATTAAAAATAACAGTAATAATAACAATTAACATTTACTTAGTCCTTTCTGTGTGTCAAGAATTGTGCCTTGCACTTTACTCTTTCACTTAATCCCCCATACAACCCAGTGACAGGGTGACTGTAGGCTTAAGGTCAGCAGTTCTCCAAGTGTGGTACACGGACCCCTGGAGTTCCTGAGACATTTTCAGGCTTAAAGCTATTTTTTAAAACTGTGTATTAATTTTGAGAGTCAGAGAGACACCGAGCATGAGCAGCGGGGAGCGGCAGAGAGAGAGAGGGAGACACAGAATCTGAAGCAGGCTCCAGGCTCTGAGCTATCAGCACAGACAGAGCCCGATGTGGGGCTCAAACATGGGGCTCATGAACTCCAAGGTTATAACCTGAGCCAAAGTCGGATGCCCAACTGACTGAGCCACCCAGCAGCCTCAAAACTATTTTCTTAATAATCCTAAAACAGGAACTGAAAATCACTGTTGACATTTTGCTAATGGTGCAAAGCAACAGTGGGTAAAGCTCCTGGTGCCTTGGTGTGAATCTAGGCAGTGGCACTGAATGGTACTGGTAGTTTTCACTGCCAGATATAGTGAGCAAAACAAAAAACCATTTCACTTAAGAATGTCCTTGATAGGGGCGCCTGGGTGGCTTAGTCGGTTGAGCATCCGACTTTCGCTTAGGTCATGATCTCACGGTTCGTGGGTTCGAGCCCCGCGTCGGGCTCTGTGCTGACTGCCAGCTCAGAGCCTGGAGTCTCTTTCAGTCTGTGACTCCCTCTCTCTCTGACCCTCCCCTGCTCACACTGTCTCTCTCTCTCTCTCTCTCTCTCCTAGAAATAAAAAAAAAAAACATAAAAAAAAAGAATGTCCTTGATAAATCAGTAAAAATTATTCTTTTTATTAGACCTTGACCCCTGAGTATACTTCTTTTTAATATTCTGTGCGACAGTGGAAGGTATGCATAAAGAACTCCTACATACTGATAACTATGATGGTTGACTCCAGAAAAAGCACTGGTCTTAGTCTGAGCTGAACTAGCTGCTTTTCTTATAAAATACCAAACGATGACTGACAAACGAGGGTTGTTCAGACTTGGTTTTCTTGAAATACGAGCTGAGCGAGACTGTCACTTCTTGAAACAAGTTTTTGTTACCAACGATAAAATTTGAGCTTTTCAGTGACTTTTGGAAAACTTGTATCTACTGCCGTGAGCTTGACAGCTTTCCAATACTCAAAAGACTTTCTGAGGAGATCAGTGGGGATATTAATGAAAATGTGTTTTTAAGGATATATAATAAAATGTGTAAACATTTGAAAGACCTGCATAACTCAGCGAAGCAGTGTTTTCTAAATGATCTGCACACAGTGTTACAAGATCATGCATGAATAAGTGATCCATTCAAAGGGCATGAGTCAAAGACCAACTTTTTTGTATTATAACATGGTACAAAAAGTCCATTAATATGGTAACAGATTTCAAGTTGCAACTGACCTTTAAGAAACTACCACCTGCTGAATTTTGGTATTAGCAGCAAAGAAGAACATCTAAAATGATCATTAAAATACCCCTCTCTTGGGGCGCCTGGGTGGCTTAGTCCGTTAAGCGTCCGACTTTCGCTTAGGTCATGATCTCGCGGTTCGTGGGTTCGAGCCCCGCATCGGGCTCTGTGCTGACTGCCAGCTCAGAGCCTGGAGCCTGCTTCAGATTCTGTGACTCCCTCTCTCTCTGACCCTCCCCTGCTCACGCTGTCTCTCTCTCTCTCTCTCTCTCTCTCTCTCTCTCCTAGAAATAAATTTTAAAAAATATCCCTCTCTTTTTCAACTGTATATCACTATGGGGCCAGAGTTTCTTCAGATACTTTAACCAAAACAATATGAGAATGCAGAAGCAGGTATGAGAACCCAGCTCCTTCCCTTTAAGCTGGGTGTTAGATTTGCAAAAATGTAAAACATTGCTACTCTTCTCACTCAGTCTTTATTTTGAAAAATTATTTTTTTCACAAAAGATTTATGTTCAAAAATATTGATTCATTTAAAATAAGAAAAATCGACTACAGGTTAACATAAGTAATGAAAACAAAAGCTCTTTGGGGTCCTCCATTTTTAGACTATAAAGAAATCTGAAACTGACATGTCTGAGACTCACTGACTTAGAGATTAAAACTTGTCCAATGTTCACAGAGTTACTAAGTGGTGGTAGTCTGACTTCCCAAGTCAGTGTTCCCATTATGAATTTTTTAAAAATGTTTGAATGTTTTATTTTAGAGAGACAGCGCGCAGGAGAGGAGCAGAGAGAGAGAGAGAGAGAGAGAGAGATACAATCCGAAGCAGGCTCCAGGCTCTGAGCTGTCAGCACAGAGCCCAACATGGGAATTGAACCCATGAATGCGAACCGGGAGATCATGACCTGAGCCCATGTCAGATGCTCAACCGACTGAGCCACCCAAGCGGCCCTTATTATGAATTTTTTGACGTAGAGCTTCAAAAACATGTCTTACCTCTGAGAAACCAGGAATAGGTCCCCTCAGGGTTAGGGAATTCCAGACAGGGAAGCAGACACAAGGTGCTTCCTGTTTCACTGATTATGCTCCCTAGAGCCTTAGCATTCAATGCTATTCCAGTAATGGATGCAGAGGCCTCTGGAACCCTTACCTGAGCCAGGTGAAACTTCTTTCCCTTTAAGTTGTGAATAAACGGATGACCCAGTCTCGCCTTGCTTCAGGCACCTCACATCTCAAAACTCTTTTTTTTGCCACAAACCACAGTAATAAGGAACTTTCCCCTCTAATGCAGCCAGCGCTTTCAGAAGTATACATAAACCTGAAACAAAAGCTTTGTAAAACAATATCTTTACCGTATGATATTTTTGAACGTATTATTTCATTAAAAAGACAAGCTAGTCATAATTTATTAAACGGATCTTACAACCACCCACAGTTTGAAAAATTACAACACTAGAGTACTTCTCTTTGAGGGAATATATTAGGCTGACATCTGTTCATACAGGCAATTCCCTACTAAGGATCAGAATCTTTCCAACCAATGTTCATGCATTACTTGGTTATTTGAAACTTGAAACATTTCCCATAAAACAAGGTGGTTGGGAGGGAGTAACATTCACGAAGGATCTATTACATACATTATCTCATTTATTACTCCAACGAGTGATCTTGACGGGAAGAAAATACTCCATCACATAGATGGGAAAAGTAAGGCTCAGAGATTAGTAACTTCTCTAATGTAGTAGAATTTGATCCCAAGACATTTGACTCCCCAAACTGTGCTTTGTAGCATCCTACAGCATTTTCTTAGGTTTATAATCGCTCACTCCAAACCCCGACTTCTCCAAAAAACAAAACCAAATAATCCCTATTCATCCCAAATTGAGCAGGGCACGATAGAACCTAATTACCATTTATGGGGACAATCTTTATAGAGTCATCCTTAATTATAACTTAGGCTCTCAAAAACACATTTTCCACAGTGGTGGCAAGTTTCTTATACCCCATGAATTCCCTAGTTTGCTCCTAAACCACAGCAATGGGGACAGAATGCTCAGTGATTTCAGAGGCAGCAGGGAAACAAAGAGGACATGGGGATTGCTTGAGACATTCCCAACGCCAGTAGGGAAAGTCTAAGACATTTCCAGGGTGGAGACTACGGGAGGTAGCAGCGTCTGACTCCTTTGCCCTGACTGGTCTACTTCATTTCCAGACATATTCCACTGTCTGACATCCTTCTCCCTACTCCCCGGGAATATCTGGGGGGTAAAAAAGCTCTCCTTTGGCTCAGCATTTAAAATAAACTCTATTGTGGGGCGCCTGGGTGGCTTAGTCGGTTAAGCGTCCGACTTTCGCTTAGGTCATGATCTCGCTGTTCGTGGGTTCGAGCCCCGCGTCGGGCTCTGTGCTGACTGCCAGCTCAGAGCCTGGAGCCTATTTCAGAGTCTGTGTCTCCCTCTCTCTCTAACCCTCCCCTGTTCACTCTGTCTCTCTCTCTCTCTCTCCTAGAAATAAATTTAAAAAATAAAAATAATAAATAAATAAATAAACTCTATTGCTAAAGCTGAAGGATGAACCACCATTCCTGATATGAGCATCTGAAGCGGAAACAACTTTACACTCGGATACTTAAAGATGGCAGGTGGATGGATGGGTAGGTGATTGGTTCTTGAGGAACTAGTCTGAATTTTCCCATCCGTTTCTAGGCCTGATAAAAGTGGCTCCCAGAATGAAAAGCAAAAAGCACCTGCACACTCTCCCTGCTGGTCCGATGAGGTCGGAGGAATCCTAGCCACGGGCCTCTGCCCTGAGTACTGGCTCGCGTGGGAGTAAAGTGCCACGTGTTTATGCCCATTTATGCCCGTGTGGCCGAAAGCTCAGGGGCCGTTGGGTGTGCTGGGCTTTTGCCCCAGGAAGAAGAACTGGAAGCACTGAGATGTTTGTTCTCTCCTCTCCTCCCTTCTGCTCCCTCCTGAAGGCCAAAGGGTTCCATCTGCTCACCTCAACTTGTCTTTCCTATTACATTCTTCCTTCTTAATGTATTTTTATTTACTTAAATTCAAGTTAGATCACACATAGTGTTATCACATTCTTTCTTTCTTTCTGATTCCACTTTCTATGGCCAGGCACACATCCCCCCCACAAGGTAAAGTGAGCAAAGGAACATTTTATCAGTATTTTATTTGGAGAAGATCTACAGTTTCACGAGAGACACTGAAGTTTTTCTCAAACGATAGAAAAAAGTTAAAAAAGAAAACAAATCTAGTGTCTTAGAAGAATAAAACGAGTCTCTTCAGCAAGCATCGGGCCTCCAGACTGGAGGACCAAGTGAAGCAGGAGTCACACACAGGAAGTTCCCATTTATCCAGTTTTAGGAAGAACACAAATGTCGTCTTGTCTCATTCTGTAAGGTTCCAAGTGGACCGGCTCGGCCTAAAACAGGCAGCAGGCAGACAGACACAGCCTCCGGGGCCGCGTCGGGGGCCGGGGTGGCTCACTCTCCAGGAGGCTGCATCTGTTTACAGAACTCGTCGAACTGCTGCTGCTCCAGCTCCGTCATGACTCGGTTGAGGGCGTAGATCTGAAGGGGACAAGAGACGTTAGCAGCGGAGGCAGCTGCTCAAGCCGTTGGCAGATACCACAGGCTGCATCAGCGGCAGATGCAGGGCCTGCGGCAATTAACGAGGGGAGAGTGATGAGGGAACACAAGACACAGCTACGGATTCCATCTGGAGCATGAGGAGAGAGGCGGGCAGGTGGCCTGATCTGGCTTTTGAAGCCTCAGTAGGATCTGGACAAGTAGAGTTTGCGGAAAGGACACCATCGGAGATGGGCAGGGGGTGGTATGATGGAATAAACAGAACGAAGAGTACAGGGTTCGTTCTGGAACCTTCAAGCATGCTCATATGAAGGATATTATAGAGTGTGGGGAGGTGGAGAAGCGCCGAGGATGCTGGAGCCTTACACGTCTGCTGAGGCGGCTGGACTTGGGCCAGATCTGGAGAGCCAGCGAGACTGGTGTGCAGGGAAGCGACCCGATCACATCTCTGCTTTGGGAAAGGTAACCGGGGACCATGTGAGGGATCAGACGGGGGACAAAGAGACTACAGGCCACTTTATGAGGCATCATCACATAGTCCAGGGGGGAGGTGGTGAGAACATGGTGTAGGGCGGGCAGTGGCGGTGGAAGGAAAATCGCAAGAGACTTTTGGGTGACAGGTGGGGTGTCTACCTCATTCCTCACCTTTATCCTTATGGTGCTGATCTGTCCACTAAAGAACAGAAGCATCACAAAACTCCCCACGTTGTAGGAGACAAAACTGAAGGAGTGTGTTTGTGTGGAGGGATATCGCTTGGATCAATTTAAGAGAAGACAAGAAAGGGGGAAAAGAGAAACTGAGCAGTGAGACAAATAGAAAACACAAAGAGCAGAAAAGGCAACCAAATGTGCAAGAGAGGATCACTAACCATGCGAGATGGTTCTTTGAAAGCAGCAGAGAAAATCCTGCAAACCTATGGCAGGGTGAACAGAGATGAAAAGGGGGAGACACAAACATGATTAGCATCAAAAAGAAAACATAATCACTGATCTGATGGAGACTACATCCAAGTATTATGAACTTTGTGTCAGTAAGTTTGAAAACTTAAAATGAAATAAACTCCTACAAAGAATAAAATGATCGAAACTGACTCCATAGAAGGTGTGAATGAGCCTATAATCCCCTCATGTGTCTCCGGGGTGAGACCCTGTCATCACCAAGGAAAGTGGGGATCCCCCACAGTGACAGAGACAGTTACAAATAACACAAATGATCCTCAAAAAGCAGAATACTGACGGTTAAAACGGTTAACTTTTAGGTTATGTGTACTTTCCCACAATGACAATAAATACATACATCTGAATAGCTAAGGACAAAAAAAAAGAAGCTAAGTGAAGACAGCCATTCACAGAAGGTAGTAACATATATAAACATTCAGAAACATGCACAACGAGATAGTGTATTGTCAGGCCGCAGAATATTACATGGGGGTACCGAGAGAAAGAGTCAATTAGTACAGAACACTGAGGGTCCAGTCAGCATGAAATTAAGGAATTAGGCAATGCTAGTGGGAAGGGTTGGGGACAAGACCAGAGTGGGGCCTGAGAAGCTTGCATGTTCTATTTCTTCAGCTGGGTGGTAGGCACAGGGTTGTTTTATCCATCTTCTGCAGTTTTAGAAAATATTTTTAAATGTTTTATTTATTTTTAAGAGGGAGAGAAAGACAGAGTATGAACGGGTGAGGGGCAGAGAGAGAGGGAGACACAGAATCCTCGAGGCAGGCTCTAGGCTCTGAGCTGTCAGCACAGAGCCTGACGTGGGGCTCGAACTCATGAACCATGAGATCATGACCTAAGCCAAAGTCAGAAGTTTAACTGACTGAGCCACCCAGGCGTCCCTTATTCATCTTCTTTAAGCTGCACACAATACATATACATATGAATACACGCTTCTTGTGTATTATATATAGATTAGTATATATGATATATATACTGGTATACATATAATATTATATATTTGAACCTCTGCTTCATCCATTCATGCTTCACTGAGCATTTTAATCTGCATATGACTGAGCTGGGGGCTCAGAAGGATATGAAGTAGCTTCCTGGAGACCTTCAGATCCAGAGGGCAGACTGGCAGAAGGGAAAATTAAAAAAGCAGAGAAAGAAGGGACTCAGGATAGGGCAGCAGCTCTGAGCCAAGGAATGACTTTGGAGAAGGAAAGGGTTGCTAACAGTGTCAAACAAACACTGCTTCACAGCCACATGTGCCCTCTGTTCCCATTTACCGCTCACATCGCTCCCTCACATCTAACATTCTAGAATGTGCCATCTTTGTAGAACTGAATGGAAACTGTATCTCTTCTTCCCCCCAGGGCTCTTGTCACATTCCTATTTTAGGAGATTACATTCCAGGCAGCACAGATAAAGCAAACAGCAAGGCCACTGTAAGGCAAAGCAAAAAGCAGGAGCCGAAGGTCAGATTTAGCTCACAGTCCTGCCCCTCAATCCCTTCGTAACTAGGGGTTCTGTGCTTTAAAGTGAGGATAATACCTTCTACCTCACAAAGTCACTATTTTCTATCTCCTGCCTTGTGCCAGGCAGGATTTACAACGGTCAGAGCAATGGGAGTAGCAATAAGCCCTAGTGTGAGGATACACGTGGTCATGCATGTGCGGGCCGGCCCCGTGCCTGGCAATGTTACATTTCAGTATTCCAATATTCCACCGCGGCACATCCCCACAAACACGGTCAGTCCTGCAGTTCAGAGTGCTCACAAATAAAAGCAGCCCAAGTGCCTGGAAGCACGCGGTCCCTGCTTGCAGCCACTCACTGCTGCTCCCTCCATGCCACGCCCCGTGCTAAGTGCCTGACATACATTCCTGTTACTCGTAACAATCCTGGGAGGCAGAGGTCATCATCCTTTGTGTACCAAGGCGGGACCGGGGTTCCGAGAGACAAAGCATCTTGGCCCATGGGAAGACCTGGGGTTCCCAGAGGGGTGGGGATTTGGAGTTGGGACTAATAAACCTAACCTGTGGAACCTCCCCAGAAGGATGTCAGTAAGGACGCGGAGAATGTCGTCGACAGCACCTATCCTTACGGTGTGCACAACGGCCAGCTGTCTCAGGCTTGTTTCTTAGAGCAACCCTCACACTGTTCCCAAAGCGCAATGCAGTGAGAACATCCGGGGCCTGGATCCAGGTGGGGAGGGGCGGTGAAGAAGGGGAGAATACCTGGTTAGAATCTAGGTCCGTAGCTCTCGGACGGTCTGTCTTAATCCAAAGGTGGATTTTAGTTTACTTATATAAAGCACCTCCCCTACTGAACACAAGTCCATGAAGGCAGGCATTCTGCCTGGTCCAGTCAGGGATCTCAAGCTCCTGCAACTGTGCCTGGCACCTAGTAGCAGCTTAGTATTTAATGAACGGATCAAATCAACAAAAATGTGAAGTCTTCCGCTACCAAGTAGGAAAAGTGAGGAATGAGAACTGTCTAACACTGCTAATGCGAGGGCACACTGTACCATCTCTTTGACGGCAATGTCTAGTACAACTGAAATATGCACAGCGATTCTACTTCTAGTTATAGATGCTCTACGGAAATTCTAGCACGGGTGCCAAAGCGTCTGTGACATGTACAAGTTTTTCACTACAGTGATATCTGTAGTAGCAAAAATCTATAAGTAATTTAAATGTTCATTATTGGAAGAATGGGTAAATATACCAAAGTGGATTCATAAAACAGACTACTGGATCTCTCTCTTTTTCTCCTATGCTCATATCTTTTGTTTCTTAAACAAAGAAACTGACTCTTAACTATAGAGAACAAATTGATGGTTATTAGAGGGGAGGTAGGGTGGGGGGATGGGTCAGATGGGTGATAAGCATCGGGTGATGTATCAAAGTGTTCAATCACTAAATTGTACACCTGAAACGAATATTACACTATATGTTAACTAAGTGGAATTTAAATAAAAATTTAAAAAATAAAAATAGACTACTGTAAGTAGTGATAAGGAATAAACTAACTACATTATTATAATAACATGAATAATTCCAAAAAACATAATGTTAGCAAAGGGTCAAAGAAAACACAGAATTTTATTTTTTACTTATTTATTTTTCTTTTTTTAAAGGAGGATTTTGTCAGTTTTTAATGTTTTTTTTTAAATGTTTATTTATTTTTGAGAGAGAGAGAGAGAGTGAGCATGAGTGCATGAGTAGGGGAGGGGCAGAGAAAGGAGAGAGAGAATCCTAAGCAGGCTCCACGCTGTCAGCACAGGGCCCAATGTGGGGCTCAAACTCATGAACTGTAAGATCATGACCTGAGTCGAAGTCAGATGCTTAACCAACTGGGCCACCCAGGTGCCCCTACTTATTTATTTTTTGATAATTTTTTTTTAAAGATTTTATTTTTAAGTAATCTCTACGCCCAGCAGGGCTTGAATTCACACCTCCACAATCAAGAGTTGTAGACTCCCACTGACTAAGCCAGCCGGGTGTCCCAAAACATAGAATTTTATTAATATAAAATTTTAAAACACAAAAGGACACTGTATATTGCTCGAGGACATCTATAAATATATTTGAGTGTAAAAGCATAAAACATTATAGTGGTTGCCCACAGCCAGGGAAAAAGGGCGTTAGACAGGAAATGGACAAAGAGAACTTCAAATTCATATGTAATTTTTATTTATCTGAAAGACTCCAGGCGAATATGACAAAATACTAACCACCACCCATCTGGGGTGCTGAGTGCGTACGTAGGTGTCTAATAGTCTGTTCTTCTATATTTTTTAATGTCTCAAAAAAGGAACAAATGAAATGGCTAGAAAGAGGAAAGACAGCGCAGCAAGCCTCCTTCTGATATTAAATACTAAAATAAAACTACCCATGTCTGGATGTGCTTCGACAAAGGCAGCGCAAACAGCTTAGCTTTTCATTCTCAAGTTGACGACTGAACAAAGGAACAGGCCTGGTGGCTCTAGGACTCGGGGCTCTTCCCGTTGTGAGCAGCTCGCTGCTCACGGGCCAAATCCTGAACATCTGTGCTTGGGGGCATCCAACGCTTGTTGCCTCTCACTCTGACCCTCCTTCCCTTGTCCCTTCTCTTTTCCCTTTCTCCCGTCCACAAAGGCTCTGCACCAGGAATCACATGGGGCCGCTCAGGGCTCTGACACTAACCTGGCGGGAGACTCTGGGCTGCCACTCCATCATTCTGGACCTCAGTGATCTCCTCCCGGGAGAACCTTTGCCTGGAAACAGGCAGCACTCTGCACCACCGTTCTCTCTCCTACGTCTCTATTCCAGAATCATCTCCAGCAGACTACAGGGACATCACCATCTTTATCTCACCTCTGCTCTCTGTCTTTGCTTCAGCTCCTGCTGGGCTGATTTCTGCTTGGCCTTCTCCACTCTGCTGACAGGTTCTTTAACTTTGGATTTTTCTTTGCGGGCAGGTGGATCCATGACTTGGCTTCCGAACGCTTCTTAGCGCTGACCTGGATGATGCGGATGAGACTGATGAACAACAGAAGGAAGGAAAGAAAAGAAAAAGAACTGCCAGTCACTCCCCTAACTAATCCCCCGAGCTCAGCGCCTTCCTTTGACAGAGAAGGCAGAGCGGCCCCGTGAAAAGGGTGCTGGATTTGGTGGAGTAAGACTGAATCCCACCGCCATGACCTTGCTGGGCGTCACTGGGCGAACCGTTATAATATTCCATTTTTCTGTGTTTTCAAATTTCTAAGAAAAAAAGCAAGAAACGAATAAAACTAATAGAAAGAGAAAAGAGAGTGCGCCAAACTTTCTCCTGATGGTAAATGCTTAAATAAAATCCCCTCCCCACTCTGAGCCTGTTTCCTGTCTGCAAAATGGGACAACAGCCATTCCCTGCCTCCTTCCAAGGCCTGTGGCGCGAGGACCAAAGTCAGAGGACCTGTGAAACGTTCACACACTGCAGCGCTGTTCTAACGGTGCGCACACGGGGGCCCGGCGGGGCGAGCCAGCCCAAGCCTGGGAGCGGGGCTGCGGGGAGGCCCAGGCCTCGTGCGGTCTCCGGCCCCCGACCCGGCGCCTTCCACCCCCAGCCGGCCCGACAGTTACGGCCCGGCTCCGCCGAAGGGTCCCCGCCCGGGCCCTCCGCCCGCCAGCAGCCCAAGCCCGGCCCCGGGGTACGCCTCCCCGCCCGCCGCTGCCCTCTCCGGGGACAAGATGGCGACGTGCGGCGATCCGGAGTCGGCACCGGCGCTTCTCGCCGCGGGACTCCGGGGCCCGGCCGCGTCGCCAGCAAGACCCCACGCGGGACACCAGGCCTTTCCCTACCTCCGGGCTTGGACTCGCTAGCCCGCCGCGCCTAGGATTGGGCAGGGCCGGGGGCGGAGCCGGGAGGCGGGGCGGGGGGGGGGGCTGGCTCGCTCTGAGGCCCCGCCCCCGGTAGTCGCGCGTGCGCAGAGAGCACATCTGGACATAACCAAGTCCTTCCAGAGTGTGCAGAGGCAGAGGTGACAACAAAGGCTTTTTCTGGAATATTTTCTGGGACAGCTGCTAGGCTTTGAAGAGTGAGATCTCAAGCCCGGGAGGAGAATTGTAACTTTCTGGCCGTCACTATTCTTAATTAGAAAAATGGGGATGGTGGCCGTCTTTTTGCTTTACGAGGTTGTTAGGAAGACCAAGGGAGGTCCTGATGGCCACAGTGTTTCGAAAAAGGAAATCAGGACAGAAATGTAAATAACCAATATAAACATAGAGAAACGTTCAAGCTCATCGATAATATATAATTATACAATTACATTTTTTATAGTTACAATTTACAATCTTTTAAAATACTTTTACAAATTAAAATAGTTGGCTATCATTTCTCATTTATTAGAAGATTTGAAGAAAATGGTAGGTAAATGCTTTGACAACAGAAATCTTGTTCAGTCTAATAATAATAGTAATAATAATGATAATGGCTGCCTCACTTCTGGGCTGATGATGTTCCACTTACTGTTCTTAGAGCTTCACATTTATTAACTCGTTTCTTCCTGTTGATAAGTATGTATGATAATGTACATGTATGGTAACATGTTATTATCCCCATTTTACAGATAAGGGAACAGAGGCACAGAGAGTTAAGTGATTTGTCCGTGGTCACACAGCTAGTAAGCACCCCAGCAAGTATTTCAGCCAGGATTCAGGATAGGACAATGGCCTATCGGGAGAAAAATACGACGGTCTAGACCCCCTAATTTTGTTCCTTTAAGGACTAAGCAAGGATTGAAACAGTTGATGGATGATAAGCAGGGAGCTGTTCAATGGATATAGACTTTGAATTCTGCAAGATGAAAAAGTCCTAGAGATCTTTTGCACAAGAATGTGCGTATGTTTAATACCACTGTACTGTACACTTACATAAGATGGGAAATTTCGTGGGTTTTTTCTCCACCACAATAATAACAAAAGCACAAGCTTGGACTCAGCAGTTCCACTTCTAAGTTGTCCTAACTAAATAATTAGATATAGCACTATTCTTAAGAGTGAAAAACTGGAAACAATCAAAATAATTGTAATAGGGGTTGATTAAGTAAATCATAGGATAGGTGTCATGGGATTCTATGCAGTCATTAAAATTACATGGAAGAATATTTATTGACATAATAAAAGTTTTTAGTGAATGAAAAAGTTTAAAAGGGGAACATACCACGTGATCATACATTTGTTTTATTTTTTCAAAAAAGATTATTCTATACATATGGAAAAAAGGCCGGGTGAAAACATACTAACATGTGAATCGAGATTACTTTGAGAGTAGAGGAGATTTTTATCTTCTTTGTGCTTTTCTGTATTTTCCAAAATTTCTGCAATGAACACTTGTACTTTAGCAAGATTTATACTTTCTTCTTTTAATCAGAAGGAAGTCTAATACATGTCATTTTAAAATGCTATACACATGTTGATTGGATTATTGTTAATAATAAAAGTAGTCCGGTTAGACTAGATTATATTACAGCTGGAAACAGGGAATGGACCTTCGGAAAACCTTAGAAAGCCATCTAAAACAGACTGGATGTAAGGGATGAAGGAGTGGAAAAGCCGAAGTAGAAGATTTGGAAAAATAGTGGAGCCACTGATAAAAGTGAAGGTATGCTGAGTTGTTCTGGGAAAGGATGAGGAAGAGGGTAAATTAGAGGGGTGTGTGTGTGTGTGTGTGTGTGTGTGAAAAAGAGAGAGAGAGAGAGAGAGTTTATACTTGAGGTGGCAATAGGCAAGAACAGTTGTCTAGCTCCAGAAAGGTACAGGTGTAGGGACACTGGTTTGGGATTCTTCATCAGGAAGGTGAGGCTGGAGTCTGGAAGGAGTGGGAGTCCAGAAGAGAAAGGAGTGAAAATCCCCTCCCCCTTCTTCCTCTGTGATTTTATGATATCTATCTGTTTATCATCTGTCATCTTTTTGTGATCATCAACAGACTGCTGGCCAGTGTGCATAATTCCCTAGTTGGCTGAGTCAACTACACCTTATAGTTGAGGTGTATACCATACTAAGATTACATTCACTTTATTGAATAACTTTTTTTCCCCCTAGAGTAAAAAATTGCCTTTTTTTTTTTCATTCACTTAGTTACGTATACATCTATTGTTAATTCTCCCCCCAAATTCTCCATCTGGACTATAAAACATCTCTTGATCTGGTCACGGGAATCTGGTTGATCTTTCAATTTTTTTCTTCCCCCTTGGAGATATCATTCCTTAGGCCCATCCTCCTCTCTCCAAATTATTGTCTTGGCCTCATGATGCAACTATTGTCGTAGGATTTCCCCTAACCACATTCTGGGGATTCCCATCACTTCTCTCCGGTGCCAAATCTGCTATCTCCTGGATCTTTGTATTCATGGTTTATTCTCTCATTTTAGAAGAGTGCATTCTCCAGTAACCTCCCAGGAAGGAGCTCATGGGAGGTAAAGGTTTGAAACCGTGCTTGTCTAAAAATGGTTTTGTTTTACTCTCATCTTTGACAGTTTGGCAGGGTACAGATTTCCAGGTTGGAAATTGTATTCTCTTGGAATTTTAAAAGCCTTGATCCATTGTCATTTAACTTCTCATGTGGCTAGCTAGGCTTTTGAGAAGTCTGATTTTTATTCTGATTTCTTTTACTTCCTACGTAATTTTTGTTTGTTCATTTGTTCTCCAGAAGTTTTTAGGTATATATTTTTCCTTCATCCTTGGTGTTCTGAAGCCTCGTAATAACATGGCATGGTAAGTCTTTTTCATTCATTGTGCTAGACACTCCCTTTCAATCAGGAAACGTGTAGTGTTCGATTTTGGGAGACTTTCTCTGTGATCGATTCCTTTGTTTTAAAATCTTTTCTTTCTCATTTTCCACCTCTTGGTTTCACTTATTCTAGTTTATAAGAGATTTTCCTGAACTTCATCCTCTGCTTCGTCTGTTGTTCTCATTTCTGCTATAAAATTGTGATTTCTAAGAGTTTTTCCTGGTACCTGACTTTTCTTTTGGCAACCTCTTGCTTTCATATTGTGGATTCAGGACCTTCTCTCATTTCATATACCTGAGGACATCAGTTGTAATTTTCTGCCTTTTCCTTCCACCTCCTAGATTGTTTTTTTGTTGTTTATATTGGTCTCTAGCTTTGAAGTTGAAGGCTTTCCTCAGATAGTGGTAATACCTACTAAATATTGGGTGTAAAATACTCTGTTCTGAGTATTTTACATGTTTTAACTCATTTAATACTTATACTCTCCCAGTGAGGTAGTGACCATTCCTATCCTCAATTTACTGATAAGGAAACTGAGACACAGAAAGGTTAAGGCTCTCATTCAGGACACACAGCTTGGAAGTGAACCTGAACCCAGTCAAACCTCCAGCTTTCCAAATCACAAGAAATATGAGGGATAGAGAAAGAAATTAAATGATACCACTAGAAAGCAATCAGCCAAATCCAGAATGTGGGACATTGTACAGGACAAATGTCTAAGTTTTACCAATAATCAAGGTATAAAGAAAAAATTTTTAAAAGAAGGGCAAAGAGATCATTATGGAATAAAGGCACTTTAGAAACCAAACCACAAAATGTAACATGTGCATCTTGTTTGGATGCAGATTTGAACAAACCAGGTATAAAAATACTTGTCTGACACTATCAAAAATGTGTGAACATAGACTGGATATCAAATAATATCAAGGATTATGATGTACGTGTGTGTGTGTGTGTGTGTGTGTGTGTGTGTACCTTAAATGGATTATATTTTTAGAATTTGCCATACTGGAAATTAAACTAAGAAATTTTAAATATAATCATTATTTCATTTAGACATGTTACTTACATGTTAACATAAAATATGTTTTATGGGAACAGCTATTTTCTGTTCTAATTTCTGTAAAAAATTAGTGAGAAGAGTGGCATTATTCCACACGTCTGTACATCTTTTAAGTGTCTGGCTCTTGGATTTGATCTGCTGCAGTAGGCTGTGTGGTTGAAGTGGCTGTGACTGGGAAAGGAGCATTTCAATTGCCTTCTCAAGTAATTGTGGATATTCTTCTTTGATACTATAGCCAAACTTTGGCAAATGCAGTAGTTTCTGAAAGGTTATTACAGCATGGGATCTGAAGCCATACCGGTGAACCTTTCTTGTCTTTTTTCCTCACAGCTTTACTGGGATATAATTTGACATATAGGTGTACAGCTTGTAGATTTGATGCCCTTGTATATTGCAAAATGATTACCACCGTAAAGTTAGCTAATACCTCCATCATGTCACATAATTACCATTTCTTTGTTGCGGTGGGAACCTTTAAGATGTGCTCTCCTAGCAACTTTCGAATGTATAATCCACCAATGAACTTTTCATACTCTGAAAAGTATGAAGAGAAACTCACTGGTTTCTCTTGCATTTTGAATAGATATTTTACCTTTGCATGATTGTGTCAAGACTTGCGTTAGTCATTTGGAAGTCATTGGCTCACTGAGTTATGAAGGTCTTTCAAATGTTGACACATTTCATTACATAACATCAAAAAAATCACTAATTATTGTCACTACCAATCTCATGCGCATGATCTTTTTTTTTTTTTTTTAATCGGGAAGCTATCAAGCCCACAGTGGCAGGTGAAATGTCAACACAGTGAAAAAAGCAAATAACAGTTTAGTATGATTATGAACGTAAGAATACCGGGGGACCTCATGAAAGGGTCTCAGGGGCTTCCGGAGTTCATGGACCCCCACAGACCCCACACACTGCTCTCCTAGAGAAACTCTTGCACATGTGAACCAGGAAAGAATGTTCCTGGCACACAGTTTGTAAAAGCAAAGGCCCTGG